GGACTGCAGGAGGTGAGTTTCGGGTTATCAGGGTGTGCCTTTCACACACATGCACTCACACACATGCACTCACACTCACCAGCATTGAGGGGATTGGGAACGCTACTCAGCTGGTGTCTGCAGGGATCTACCAGGCTGCTGGGACGGCAAGAGGTGAGATTGAAGCTTGTTGATGGTCTTTCACCCACGCGCACTCACCCACACACACACACACACACACACACACACACACACACACACACACACACAAACACCCACTCAAACACACTGGTCTTGCACCCAGTCTGCTCAATGCTTCTCCACTCTCTTCTCTCATACCCATTTCATAATCACCAGGTCACATGCACCCTGTCCCCGTTTCTCTGCTTCCTCTTCTCTCCACCAACCCATTGTCTTTGTCAAATCAGGGGCTGCCAGGTCAGCAGGAACGCAGATGGTGAGCCTGTTCAACCGGGTCAACCCAGTCAACGCCCTGTCAGCAGCGGGCGGCACACTCACAGGAACAGTAGCCGCTACCCCCAGCGCCATTGCCAGCCTGCTGCAGAACCCCGCAGGCTTCGTCCTGCAGGCCACAACCAGGGGAGGTGGATCTGCTGCTGCTGGCAGTAACGGTGCTGCCAGCACTAACGGTTCTGCTGCTTCTGGGACCACTGAGACTCGAGTGGCGCCGCTGAGTGTAAGGACGACTGACCCTTAACCAGCCACCAGAGTGAGCCTTACTCAACAGTCTGACCCTTCAGGCCAGCCAGCAAACACTGATTCAGCCCAGGATGATTCAACCATGGTGTGCTCACTCAACAGTACTAACAGCATTGGTTAGCATTGGTTACTAAGAGCTTGCAGGGCTTTGGACAGCGCTAGTGACAGTAAGGATAGTGACAGGAGCAAGAGTGTGCAATGGTGTGTTGTGTGAGACAGGAGATCGGCTATTGTACTCGTGTGTGATGCAATGAAGCTAATGGAATGGAAACTGCCTCTGCGTGTATCTCTGCTTCTATTCATTCCTTCTTTCCCCTTTCTCCCTTCTACTTTATCCCCTGCTCTTCTCATCTCTTCCCCCATGCCCCACCCCCTTACATTTCTGTTTCCCCCATCCCCACCAGGTCCTTGCACCTCTCATCCCATCAACCATCGCCACCACTCCTCTCCCCGCTGCTGCCTCCGTGGCTCCTCGGCAGGGCGTCCGGCGTCAAGGTGAGAACTGGGGGAGGCGTGGGGGAGGGGTGGATAGGAATGGGTGAGACTTGGGGAGGCGGAGGGGTTGGCTTGAGACATGAACACTTTCCTCCCTGCTGCTGCCTCCGTGGCTCCTCAGCTGGGCGTTCGGCGTCAAGGTGAGACTTGGGGAGGCATGGGGGAGAGTGGGGGAGGCATGGGGGAGAGTGAGGGAGGCATGGGGGAGAGTGGACACGGAGTGGCTGGGTGTGGCTGAAGAGTGGATAGAGGAGTGGATAGAGGAGTGAATGAAGACTGGTTTTTCCTGTTGGGCACCTCTGTTTTCTGAGCTGCCGATGCAGTAACGCGTATCCTCTGACATCAACTATTGCTTCCTCTCTTCATCTGAGGGAGTGTGCATTTGAATGATGGGGTGCATGGATGTGCGTGTGAGTGTATCCTGTGTACCTGTGTGGGTTTGCATTACTGTCTATGATGTATGCGTGTGCCTGTTCGCATGCACATGGAAATTGATTCCAAATGTTCAGAAGTAACCCCAGCCACCAGCGCCACCCCTTCGACAACTGCAAGGGGAGGACCAACCACCCTCATCTCTGCTCGTTCCACCACCTCCGCCACACCAAACCCCGTCACCTCCCCAACCACCACCACCCCCACAGCCACCTCCACCATCAACCCTCGTCTGTCTTCTCCTCCTTCCCTTCTTCCTTCCCATCGTCCTTCCCCTCTTCATTCCCTTCCTCCCTCCCCTCCTCCCTCCCCTCCTCCCTCCCCTCCTCCCGTCCCTCCTCCCTCCCCAACTCCACTCCCTCCTCCCTCTCATCCACTCTTGCCAACCTCCCCACCAACACTCCCACCACCCTCCCAACCTCCAACCCTCTTCCCGCCAACACCCCTCTCCCTGGGGGCTCATCCCAATCCTCTTCCGCCACTGGCATGCTGCTGGGCGCCGCTGGTAACGCGGTAACTGATGCTGCGCTGCAGCTGCTGCAGGGAATTCAGGGGGCCATGACTGGGGCTGGAGGCTCCAGCAGCAGCAGCGGCAGCAGCAGTGGTCCCAGTGGTAACACAGGGTTTCCAAGCGATAACACTGGTTTTCCCAGTGGTACAACTGGAGCTGCCTTCCCTGCAACTTCTCAGGGAGGTTCTTCTGGGGGAGGTATCAACTGGGCTGCTGCACTGCCACTCCTGCAAACCCTTGTCCAGCGAGCAACAGGCGGCGGTGGGAGCAGTGACATCCGTGGAAATGGTGATGGTTCAGTGAATGTGGATTTGAACGCGTTGTTACCTGTGGCAGAAGCTCTCCTGAGGATGGCGACAGGGGGTGCAGTTGGAGGGAATGCAAACCAGCTTGACCTTGGAATGCTGATGAATCTGGCTGGGGCCCTTGGTGGTGCCATGTCTGGTAATCCATGAGCGGTGGAAACGAGGAACAAAATACGTTCCCTTATAGGTTGAACTGTAGTGATCGAGAAGATAGTGTTATCGTACTGCTTCATGTTTTGCATTGACATATGTTAAGAGGATTTGCCTGGAGAAAAAAAAAATGTTCCTGCGATCTGAAACGAGTACAAATTCTACGTTGGCATGTGGAATGTGTACTAGGAATGGATGTGAAATATATTTCACAGTAGAGAGACCTGGTAAAGACAATTGTTTTTAGCGAGAGCATCATTCAATTATTCTCGGCATTATCTGTGCTTGGTTTCCTGGGGGGGATGGATGTCGTCCCTAAAGAACTCAGCTTATCACCTTGGCGGTTCGGGTTTTGTGGCAGATGCCACGCTGGAAGAGGTTGTCAGCCATGTCTGCAGTCAAATTGAGTAGCCAATAATCAACCTTTGCGACTGGGGTGGAAAGCGGCAGATTACTCAGCTCGCCTGGCCGTGGTCAGGGGTGCAGCGTGACCTGGTACGATAGAGCTGATTGGTTGGCGCCAAAGGTTGCGGAAACCAGATTGGTTGGAAATAGGGACGCCTTCCCGCCGACTCCCCTCGCGCAGTCAATCGACGTGTGATGAGATCCCTCCCCACAAGCTGCCCTTGCAACCCAGAAATATTATTGAGGAAGCAAAAGCGTTGTCAATTGATGGGAGCAGCGGATTTACGTTACACATCACAAGCTATGCACTGTAATCAGGCTATCCTTTGCAGTGTACAAAACTTTTCCTTAGGATGTTTGTTGTGCCAGCAGCATCCTAACCTGGTGGTGGCGGCTGTTGTGGACTGCCGCCAGGTGCAACTCACCTGTCAGTGATTGATCCTGTGGCATCGCAAGAGCGACGCTGATTGGGTGTTTCATCTTCGGGGCAGTCAGTCCGCGGGGGCTGCCGCCGAGCCGTGCGGAAAATTCTTGGTGGCGAAGATGCCATGGCGGCCGACTGGTTTGCGTGCGCAGAAATACGAACCGCATTTTGCGGTGACATCTCTTGTCATCCCCTTGGCCGCAAGTGCCCGAGAGAGGTGAACGGGCATGCAGGTTGCAAGCCACTGATAACCGTGCCGAGTCCGAACCGAAAATCCTGGACGTCGCACGCGTGTCTGCGACGTTGTCACGTACAACCAGGCTCGGCTAGAGAATCCTTTCACCCAGTTCGAGGCTTTTGTTCTGCGGCTGCGACGACAGGAGGCGGCATCGCGTAGTTTTCGGCTGACGGTGGTGCCCCTCCCCTCCTACCCCAGTTTGAGTCGTAGGCAGAGTCCACCGCCCAACCGCCACGCGGACGAACTTCCGCTCTTCCGCACCCGCATTCAAAACCCAAATGTTCCCAGTCGCCAGCGGATTGCGGTGTGCCCGTGCTTCCACAACAGAGCGCACACATCTTTGCGTCCCGCGTACATCTGCTTCCCTGACAGAGCACGAACCCCTGAAATTATCGAGTCGCCTAAAACTATTCCGGCTTCCCATTCCGTCGCACACGACTTCACATCCACCCCCATTCCTCCCAATCGCTTGATTGACGGAATATCCTTTTTTGCTGCACCACCTCCACCTCACCCAACCACACACCTGACCACACGAGCTGACGAATCACAATAGTTAGCGCGGCTTGCACCTTGCCTTGCTTGACGTCCGTCCGTCGCCATGTCACCAACCATCTGTCTCAAATAATTCAGTCCCTAGGAGGTCGCTCTCGCAGAACCTTCCGTAACGCCCCCGAACCGGATTTTTCCCGGAGCTGCCCATGAAAACCTTCTGTCAGCCCGCGAATCCGCCAACAAGCCCGCGGAATCCCCAGTGACCCCCTGACAACTCCATTGGTCCTGGCGCCGAACCAGCAGTGTCGTTCCGCCTTTCCCCCCCGCGTTTTTGATTGATCCCACCTGGCCCTGTGACGGCGTCACTTCCCCCTCTTTCATTCGCCACGCCGCCAGCCGTCAATCCCCCGATGGGACAAAATTCGCTTCCCTCAACGCCCACCGCCATTTCATCCTCCCTCCCTCCCCTTTCCTCGCCTTCCTTTCCCCGCTGGTTCTGCCGAGCGCGCTGACTCACCCTCCCTCATCTGCACTACACGCAACTGCCTGATTTTCTCTCCCAACTTTCAACCTAGCAGCGCGGACCGATCCACTGCACTCAAGCCCAACTCAAACCCTCCATCTCCCACAGCAGGACCACCAAAAACATCAGATACGTTCCGTCCTCCAGTCAGTTTTCACTTGCGTGAGTCGCATCTGAATCCCCCAACTTTCTCAGCCCACCTAGGACGCCGTCTAAAGAAATAAGGCTGCGCGACGCCTTGCAGATCTAATTAATCCTCCAGTCTATCGGCTTCCTGAAGCGGCAGATTTCCTGCCGGCTGCAGATCGAAGCCATCTCACATCATGGCGGGTCTTTCACTAGACCTCTCCCTCAGCCTCCTCTCCTCTGCACCTTCTTCCTCTCCAGTCGAGGCCGTCACAAACCTTCGCGATTCTCTCTCCAGCCCGCGTAAGGCGAAGCGCCACTGCCCGTCAGATCTTCGTGAAGCGGACCAACGCCACCAGCTTTCCATGAGGCACGTGCCGTCGCCGGGACTGTCACTCGCCAGCAGCCTTGACGCAGATACCGTCGCCGAGCCCGTCGCCGAGCCCGTCGCAGATTCTGTCGCCGTGACGTCGCAGAGGGATAACGTGAATTCCTCCTTTCACCTTCTTGACTCGTCTCCGTCGTCGTCTCCCCCGTCTACCGGCTCCTACTCCCCCTCATCCCGCGGTCCTTCCGCCTTCACCGCTCTCGCCTCCCTTGCGCACGCTACGCCGTCGCACTGCCTGCCGGCGCTCACTCCGTCTACTCCGCCACCGCCGTCGCACCAGCACCATGGCTGGTTCGGCTCCGCCAACACCCCCGCAAGCTGCCCGCCAGCAATCTGCTCCCCCGCAAACTGCCCTCCCGCAAGCATCCCCCCCGCAAGCTGCCCTTCCGCCATGGAAGGCGTCTCCGTGACTCGGCTAACGATGCCGCCCTGCGCATCCTCCGCCGCTCTTGCCGCCGCGCATCTCGCCACGTCACACTATCAGCAGTCATCAGCTCCTGCGGCGTCATCTGCGGCAGTGAATCCCAGCGGGCAAGCGGGAGCCGCTGTGGGTCCCGTCGCGCCTTCAGCACACCCCCTTGTCGCTGGAGCCGCGCCGATGGTGCCGACGGCGGCGCCGGTGCCAGCGGCGGCGGCGACGGCGGGTCCGAAGAAAAGGAAGAGCATGAAGGACCGGAGGTTCCGAGGAATTCGTGAGGTACGGGAGAAAGTGTTTTATTCCAAGTTTGGATCTATTCTGTGGATCGTCATAACCGCCGGATCTTGCTATAAAATCAAGCCTCTCGTAGTTTCGCTCTCTTGTCCTTGTGCTTGTGCCTTGTTTTTATTTATTGTGAACACCTCTCTCTACGTTGCCTGTCTATCTTGCAGCGCTTGTGGGGTCGCTGGGCCGCGGAGATTCGGGATCCCCGAACCAAGAAGCGGATCTGGCTCGGCAGCTTCGACACTGCCGAGGCTGCGGCCCGAGCGTACGACGCAGCCAACCTCCGGCTTCGAGGAGCCAACGCCCGAACCAATTTTCCCCAGCCTGAGCAGCTGGCCGCCACGGAAAACAAACCTGCTGAACCGGGTCAGAGCGAGGCTCTGCCGAACGTAAATTCCAGGCTTGAGGAGCAAAGTCCCACGGCCGGGTCGAGCTCGGATGGTGACGGCGAGAACGTCGCGGGCGGGGAATCGTCCGCGTTAGAAGAGGAGGCGGATGTGGTCGCAGCTGCGGACAGCCTGTCTCTACTCGCCGCCGCGGCGCTTGCGGAAGAACCTGCGCCCGCGCCTGCGCTCGCTGCTCTGCCCGCGCCCTCGCCTGCGCCTGTGCCCGCTCCTGCTCCTGCGGCTGCAGGAGGGGCGGCGATTGGCGCCCCGGTTGCCGTGAGCGCCACAGCCGCGGTTGCACCCTCAGTTCAAGCGGCTGTAGCGCCGGCCGCGGCAGCAGCACCTTCAGCAGCGCCAGTCGCAGCGCCAGCAGCAACGCCAGCTGCTGTGTCCCTCTCCCCGGCAGCGACGATCGCCACTCGTCCCACCCCCATCGCCCCGGCTCCCGTTCAGTTCTCTTCGGGGCAGCCTGGACGGTACCCGTTTGTGGCTGTCTCGCAGTGGCAGTACTACGCGCAGCGGAACCCCCAGCAGCAGTACAGCAACAACGTGCAGCAACAGCAGTACCCCCGCGCGCAGCAATACCCCCACTCGCACTGCCCCCAGCCGTCCTACTACCATCCGGCGCAACCAGTGAACGCTCGCTCCGCGCCTCACCCGCAGCAGCAGGCTGTAGCGGGAGCGCAGCCGGCGCTAGCCGTCCCAGCGACTTCCCCCTTCCCTACCTTCCCCGGGTCCTGGGGACATCCCAGCCATCCCAGCTCATCCGCGCAGTACCAGCAGAACCTGGCCCCGCTGTCCGCATCCGCCTCCGCGCAACACGTGTCCCTCTCCGCGCCCGCGTCCGCCGCGCTGGCTGCTGCTGCGGCTGTGCCTTCGCACCGGTCCCAGGTGGCATTCCCTGTGTCGCAACATCCTGCTCCTCCCAACACAGGTGCTCCACGCGCTGTGGTTGCACAGGCAGTAGTCACTCCGCGAACAGTCACTCCCCACACTGTCACATCGCACAAAGCGGCGCCTCTCATGGGGCTGCTGCAGCTGCCCAAGTCTCTCACTGGCTCGGTTCCAGCAGGCCAGCTGGCGACGCCCGTTGCGGCAGCAAAGCCTGCTGCGGCACCAGGAGCGGTTATTGTGAGAGCAATGGCAGGACCAGCAGCAAAGTCGACAGGAGCAGCAGCAGGAGTGGGAGCTATGTGCACGTCTCTGGTTCCCCAGGATCAGTCGCCCTGCACGTCTGTCCCTCCTTCGGCCTCCCTGCCGTCTCACTCCTCCAGCAGCAGTAGCTATGCTGGAGGCTCGGGTGCGGATCAGTGCACAGCTGCGTCTGCTGATGGCACGGTTGCTGTTGCTGATGCGTCCACTGCTGTGGCTGCTTCTGGAGCTGTTGGTGCTGCGCAGAGCGAGAAGAGTGGAAACAAGAAAGACGGCCGTACTCGGCTTTTCCGCGGTGTTCGCCAGGTAAAATTCCAAGCATTGTTGTTCCGTTATTTATTAATCGGTGTTGTTTCTCCCCCTGTACCGTATCTTTTGGTTTTGTTAAGAATTTCTTATCCTGACGGTCTTTTTCCTGCTGTTCTTCTCCTCTCTCTGCAGCGTCCGTCTGGTAAATGGGTGGCCGAAGCCAGGGACCCTCACTCGCGCCGTCGCATCTGGCTAGGTAGCTTCAATACCCCAGAGGAAGCTGCCCGGGCATATGATGCCATTTCAAGGAAGTTCAGGGGATCTGCTGCCAAGTGCAACTTTCCTGAAGGAACTGATGGGTTTGTGGACAACAATGTTGCATTGACTGAGCTGATGGATGTCAGGGGCCGGTCGATCGCTCAGGCAGCATTGACATTTGAAAGATACGGACCCGGTGGGCGGAGACCCACATACAACCCAGCACTGCAAGTTAGTGTTCCTAACAGTGTTCCTAACAGCGTACCTAGCTGATACGGTAACTGACTCTTTGTTAATGACCATAAGTTTTCAACAGTGTACCCTTTCCATCAGTACCAGGGCATTCTGAAGTCAATGCACAAGATGTTAAATGTAATTTTGTTTTTAAAATTGTTTTGTGGGGTGATTATAGGGCTATGAATGTGAATGTAGAAAAGTCAATACACAGGGCCTGATATTACTGTCGTGCGGTCTAGGTATATGGCGGTACGGTACGGTACGGCTGTGAGCTTATGAATTTGTAGGACCTGCCCTCGAAATGTACGTGCTCAACGAAGTCGAAACTTCAACCCTTCGAATTCCACGAGCTTCCTTTGAGGTTGTCGCTGCTCGACCTTGCTTGGTGAAGAATCGATGGCGTTCCCGTTTCGAAATGACCAGCAAAGCACGGCAAGCTCAAGGTTGGCTATGCTCCCGTTTTGTCAACAAAAGTAGACCACCTTTGTAGAGATATAGTCGTATAGCTCGAGTTTCTTACATTCTCCTGCATCTCTCTGTTCATGTTCGCTCTCGACCCAGTTAGCTGAAGACACGACAACAGCTCATTCTTTGTTTATTGGTTAACCATGTTCTACTCAAACTCCTTGCTTTCGAGGAAAAGCCCTCTCGGCCAAATATGGTACGGTTCAGAGTCCGCAAGGCAGTTGCTGCACGTCATGCTTTCGGTCAGCTTAGCAAACACCTGTTTTGCCTCAACAGGATCGCCGCTATGATGCGAGGAAGCATAAACCGGAAAAAGGCTGCACTTATTGACATTCGAGACATCTGCGCCCGTATATTAGAGCCTGAACTTCCCCTTGCTCTGCGTCTCTCCGGGATCCTAATGGGTATACATTGACGCAAGTGTCTTTTGAAATCGCGTCCAAGGACACAATACTGATTGCGTATGGTTTGTTCTACAGGTGGTGCGGTCATTGTGTATTCAAAGAAAGTCACGTTTCTTCTGGAGGATGCCAAAGCTTTCATGGTGGGAAGAGTTTTTTTATCCTATTTCGCTTCGCGTGTGAGAGTACGACTCACGCGGCTGTGCTTTCTGCGCAGGCAAAGATCAACGCGGCCCTGGTTGTGAAGCGCGATGACAAAACGCTGCCGAGGGAGAAGGGCCAAGCAAGGTTGGTTGTTTGACCTATAGATATGACTCTGTTGTTCTCATTCTTGCAGCTAACCACAAGCGTCACAGATTTGAGAGTGTTACGGTCGACTACCAGTTTGGTAGCTTCAACGTTGACGTCACTCTTGATTCTGGCCGTGCAATTGGAGACCAGACAAATGTAAGATGCTCCCAGGATTTTCTTGTAAGCAAGAACGCAACATCTATTCTCAATCGTAAATGCACCTTTTCAGGAGTTCTTTGTGCTTCCTCAACCAGAAGTTGCACGTGATGGCCGACATGAGCACACTTTGGGTGAGCCTGCAGCCTGCATTTGCTTTTTCTGAACAGTGGACTTTCGGCTTAAGCTAACTTGTTTGATGTTCCAGCGACACCTGCGGACATTACCCTTCCGGAGTTGCAACATGACAACGAAGGCTTCACCAGGTAAGATTCAAAAGTTGTTGAGAACATCTGTTCCTTTTCAGATGACTCATCTACACATGCATTCGCAGGTTTGGGGTTGATGATCAACCACCTATGACATTCCAGGACGAAGGTGCTGCTGACGCTATGTGGCAAGACATTTTGAAGGGTAAACCAAGCTTGCTATCTGCTATGTGCGGACGATCTTAAATGTTTTTGTTTCTAAGTTGCACTCTGAATCTAAATTTCAGGGATGAATTCGCCGAAGCCGAGCACTCCTAAAGGTCCTCCTCCGGAGACCATCATTGAAGGCCAGCAAGAAGCAAGCCAACCACAAAACGTTCGGGACCAGACTACTGCACCTGAGTCGGTATGTATGGGTTTTCTTTTACTGGTTTCGCACATTAAGCATTGCAGTCTAATAGCGCTCTTTGCAATTTGGCAGCCTGAACAAAATGAGGCTCCAAAGCGAGCAAGGCAGCTTAAACGGAAGGCGCGCCCAAAGAAAGTTGTTATGGACGAGGATAGGACAGAGGTACCCCCAATGGAATTCAACAGATGGCTGCAAGACACGTCAAAGATTATTGGAAGGGTGAAGAAGGTATGACCGGATTGTGAACCTTTCCCAGCATATGGACCGCTTCTAATGTTTCTGCCAATTCCAGGATCGGAAGTCGCTGTTGGAGAAATCCACTGAATCTCTCATTGACCTTCCGTTGACTGGAAGTATCACAATGGACGGGTTTGTAGCTTCCAGATGGTCCAGAGGAATGCTGCGGACGTGGAACAGATATGTTCGGAAGGACACATTCAGAAGCAATCCTGAAACAGACGGTAGGTGTCTTCAACTTCCACATCCGTTTTGCTTATGGGCTTTTGTCCCTTGTTTCTGAGCAATGTTGTCTGAGCTGTGCAGAGATGCATGCCTCGAAAAAAACTCGTGTGGAAAGTGGAAGTGACAAGGTACCATAACCATACTCCACGGTTTGATTTTTCAATATTGTCTCTACCTCAATATCAGTAACAATCGTTTGACCTTGCAGGACCCTGAGATGCCAAATCAGGTCATGCTTGATGATTTCGGATCTGCTGAAGCTATGAGGGAAAGAAATGAGACGCCAGTAGTGGCAGGAAATGGCGTAAGACGTGATGACGTCACCCCACCTGCTCAAGGTAGGTCATTGTGCTGTGTCGTCACCTTAGTGCACAAGCTCCGTCCACTTTCTAATACTTCGCCTGACATCCTGCAGGGCTTTTGGATCTTGAACGAATGAAGAACTCTTCGGGTGGGGTCCCACTTCCAATGGAGGAGGAAAATCAACCAGACTTCTATAGAGGGTGAGTCCGACTTCTGCACTTAATTGCAGTATAGTGGCTGCTTTGTTCTTACTAAGCCACTGAACTGTGATTTTGCAGACACCGTCCTCAAAACATAGCAGACTTCTTGATGGAAGGATCGCCACAGATTCCGCAAAACTTGGCTGATGATTTAACTGCTCAATTTCCCGGACAGAGTGCCGAGAAGTTTCCTTCCAAACATAGCAGCAGTGGACTGCGAGGTGCACTGAGCCAGTTTGGTGAGTACCTTTCCTACTTTTTGGCGGTCTTTTGTATGAATCGTATAGAAAACACTCGCACATTTCAGGCGTATCCGAGCCTCTGCAAGAAACGGATGCAACACAGACACAATTTCCTGCAACTTCCATTGACAAGAGGACAGCATCCCTTGCTGGGTAAGTGGGACTACATCCCTCTGTAACAATTGCTGGCTGAGTGTGTCAGTCACTCAGGCTTTGTGATTGCAGATTTTTCCGCCAGCAAGTCTTCAGCAATCCAGAAATAAAATTCGCATCGCTGCATGAACTTCTAGCAGACTGCAACAGGCAGCAAGCAGCCCGCATCTTTTACCAAACATGTGGTAAGTCTAGCACCCCTTGCCTTGATGCCAAAGCCTGCAGCCTGCTGTCAGTTTTCATGTCTAAAAACTTCGTTCCTTGGCAGTTCTTGCAACGATGAACTACCTCAAGGTCAAGCAATCCACTCCCTACAGTGATATTGAGATCCTTGTGGGAGGATTTTTGTGAAAGCCCTATTGTCAGCGAATTCACGCACGGTGGATGTCAGTTGCGCCTGTATCACTTATTTGCATTGCTTTCCATGTTTCACTATTATTAATGAGAAAAGGACCCTAAACCCTGTTAGTGAGCACCATCAAGTGTCCAACCATGGAGCATGCACGAAGCAGCCAAGCCTTGCATCCCATGGACTGATGCATACACACACCTAAGGCACCTTGCCTGATACAATCGCTCTGATGGATAGGAACCCGCAATTCCAAGATTACTCTCTTCAGAGTAAGAAATATTTTGAAACCCCTGATGTACATCAGCTTTGCAAATGTGCCAGCATGAAACCGCATTTTGCACATCAGCAACTTAGCCCTCATAGCTGCCCAACTCCCCAACATACTCTGCCACATCATCCATTGCCAGTCGCTCCAAATCAAATGACTCTGCCAACTGGACAACAGCCACACCCTCCTCTCCTCTCCTTTCCAAAAGTTTCCCAACCTGCCCTCGGTTCGCGCCAGAAAGAATCATAACGCGACCCCCTTTCTTCGGCAGAGCTGTTTCCATTTCCTGCTCCTTCAATCCCTGGACCAAGTTGCCTCTGCTACTGACTCCATTCCCACTCCTTTCACCAGCTTCTGATGACACGGAATCTAGCAGCACATCACAAGTCGTTGGCGTGACAACATCGACAATTGTCCCCTTCTTCAAGTAAAGCCTCCCCCCATATATGCGCTTATCCACAATGCGCACTCGGATATGCGGCATTAGCCACGGTCGTCGACGGGGAGGAGGGGACAACAGAGATGGTTCTCGTGAGGCCCGTTGCCTAGTAGAAGCCTGCTCACGTTTATCTTCTTTCCTGCTGCTCTTCTCTTGGTCAGTTCTCCTGTCACGGTCACCCCCCCTATCCCTGTTCCTGTCTCTGTCCCTGTCCCTGTTCCTATCTCCGTCATTATCCTTCATCCTCTCTCGCTCATTCTCCCTGTTCCTCTCCCTCTCTCTCTCCCTGCCTTGTTGTCTATCCCTTTCAGTACCTCTTTCTCTGTCCTTTCCCCCATCCCGCTCCCTGTCTCTGTCTCTGGCCACAAATCGATCACCTTTTCCCTTCTCTATGGGCTTCTCAACCTCCCTCCCTTCCTCCCGTCTCCCCCTGCTCCTCTCTCCACCCTCTCTCTCCTCCCTTTCTAATCCTTTCCTCCTTCCCGCATGACCATTCTCTTTCAACCTCCTCTCTTCCCCATCTCCAACCCCCACACCCCGTATCCTCTTCATCGCCTGTTCTTCCTCCCACGATCCCAAATCCGCCACCTCCTTCCCCTTCACTACAATCACCTCCTCACTACTCACAAGCACCAGCCTCACCTGAACCCCCTGCCCTTCTCCCAATTCCATCACTTCAAGTACTTCCCCTTTCAATCCCTCATGCCGTCCCTCAACTATCCTCATCACCTTCCCCTTGGCCGGCCCAGGCCTCACCCTCTCCACTAGCTTCTCCGAAATCGGCTTCACATGCCGAACCTTCCCGTCTGGTCCGACTGAAGCTACCAGGTCCGGCTTGGGCCCTCGGGTCTCCCCAGGCTTAATCAGCTTCTTGTTGTTTTCCAGCAGCTTAGGAGTAGCTCCTAGACCCAGGCGTCCCTGTCTCGGAACGAACTCCACGGGTTCTGCCAATCCCTTGGCGTTGCGACCAATAGGCTTGCCTTTCTGCCAACCCATCCCCGTTAGAAGCGCAACTCCAAAATCCTCTACAGGCATCGACTCGTAGTCGTCTAAATTCGCTTCATCTGGAAGACGCTCCAGATCCTCCTGCAGCTTCTGCGTTTCAGGATCCATAATAGGCCGTTGATCTCGATCGTCAACCCTTTCCGGAGCAGATCTGACGGTCAAGCCGTATCGAACGCCTCCAGAAGATTCGTCCGCTCCATCACCATCCTCTTTTCCTTCCCCTCCAGGTAACGATCCCGCATTACCCATATCGAATTTATTTTCCGGACCTCCCATAATCTCATCCATTTCCGGATTCACGCTCTTCATCCGCTTCTCCGGCTTCCACGTGTCTTCTAGCGGAGCGATTATCTTAGGCCCGCGCTTCGACTTAGACTCGTCCTTGGCTACCAAGCCGGTGGAATCGACGGCGGTGATCAACTCCCGCTGCTCGCTCTCCTCGTCCTTCTTATCCTGCACCTTCCGCGGAACCTTCGCCGCTCCTTTCATCTTGCCAAGAGAGAATTTCATTGGCGCCGATTTACCCTCCTTGGGACCTTCCATAGTCTCCCTCTGACCGTCCTTAACGGTCTCCTCCGCGTTCGCAGAAACATTCTGTAACCCGTCACCTTCCTCGCCGTCCATATTTTCCTCTTGAAAACGGTCAGTCAAAGCCGCCTCAGGTAGAACGTGGAAGCTCAAGAAGAACTAAGGATGGATTAGGGCGGGACCTCCCTTCGTGGTCGTTGGGGTGGGTTTGGGAGGGAAGTGGTTTGCAGAAACAAACCACCCAGTTCTTCATGTCCTCCTCAGGCAGTTGAGTGCGTTCCAGTACGATTTTAGACGGTAACCTGGCAGAAAGCACCAAACAGGCGGAGCGAGTTGGAACCAAATTGCGAAACACCCTTCACGAGCTGGTAACCAGCCCCGTTGACGAAAACTGCAATTTGCGCGGGAAACTAGGCACACTGACACCAGTCGTTCAGCCCACATACAAAGCCCTCCCATCTAGCTTCTAAATAAGACTGTAAATTTGTCCTTTCCCGTGGCGCGTCCCCATCGGCCTTCTAGCCGAGAACTATTTTTCGAGCAAGAGTGAGAAGTGGTCCCAACCTGGAAACTATTCTCGAGATGCGGTAACCCCTTTCGCATCACGCGCGCATGGCTCTCGTCCGCACCTTCGTCGGCACGTTCCTGGCCAACGTGGTGTTTTATAACAAGGCCGTGACGAGCTTCTTAGCGGGGACGGTGGTGGGGATATACGTTGGACAGAATTACGACGTGCCGAATGTTGAAGAGAACGCACGCAAGTGAGTATTCTGGAGAATAGGAGATCTTGTAACGCTGTCTGTGATTATTATCTGCGATTGCGATTGGAGAAAGGCACGTGATGGTGGGCCGGTTTATAGTAGGCAACTTAAACGTGGATGAAGAGACCCGGAATTTCTTGCGTGCCTTGTTTGGTCTGAGGTGGGGAGAGAGCCGTGCGAAACCGGTTTTGACGTGAGCAGGGATCGTGTCAATGACCAGTTCAATTTCTTTGAATTGTTTTAGAAGGGTGGGTCATGAAAGTGAGGAGGGCCTGTCGTGGTTGGAAAGGTTGGGGGGAGGCTTTCGGCTGTGGAGGGCTTTCAGTTGTACGGGGAAGGCATTTAGGTTGGAGGGGAACTTTCAGGCTTGTGTGTTGGCTTCAGAATAAGGGGGGACTTTCAGGCTGCACATGGGATCTTCGGGTTGACGTGGGGGTTAGGATAGCACCTCGTTCGGACCTTAAGGGGGACAGGTGGATGGATGGGAGGGTGAAAGCTACCTAGGTTTTACGTAAACGTGTGACTGCATGACCTACCGATACCGGTAAGATTGACAGATGTGTGCCTCAAGAAACCATGCATGTGTGCCAATACATTTGTGTTCTGTAACCTCATCCCTATGCTTCAATCCCATGCATACCTAGTATTTGTGTCTGTCAACCCCATGCATGTGTCTCAAACCCGTCGATGTGTGTCAACCCCGTGCATGTGCCTCAAACCCATCCATGTGTGTCTGCCCCATGCATGTGCCTCAAACCCATCCATGTGTGTCAGCCCCATGCATGTGCCTCAAACCCATCCATGTGTGTCAACCCCATGCATGTGCCTCAAACCCATCCATGTGTGTCAACCCCATGCATGTGCCTCAAACCCATCCATGTGTGTCAACCCCATGCATGTGCCTCAAACCCATCCATGTGTGTCAACCCATCCATGTGACTCAACCCCATGCATGTGCCTCAACCCACCCGCTCATATCCAAGTCACTGGTTGCTTGTTATAGTATGCTGTAACCAGGATAAATGCCCTCTGCCAGCTCCTTACATAACTTGTGTGCAATTTTCCACTTGCTGTTGTCTGTTACACTTATGCCTGCTTTGCTGTATTCTAATTCCTCTTGCTGTTTCCTCTGTGTGTTCCTCAGAGTCCTTGCATATGCTCAAGAACTACATGACAAGTACCGCAGGCAGCCGTAACAGTATGACAACCTTGTTTGCAAAGGTTCACATAGGAGGATACATGTATGAGAACTGTGTGACGTTTTTGCCAAAAGAATAAAACCTGTTTGGAGCACAGTGGAGCCAATGTAGGTAAGAAAATCTCGTGCTTATGGAGATGGCCCCATTCGGTGCTTTAGCGAAACAATAATATTATCAATGAGTACAAACAGAGCAGTCAACTCCCCAGCTTTAACTGCTATGAACTACAATGCCAACTTCTCTAGCTATCTGAACTAACCAGTGGCTGCAAAGCAGTTACACGTTGGTTACTTGGCCCATGGCTATGAGGGAGGCCATGCTCATAGCTCAGGTTACCCTACCTGCTCTCTGGTTACCCTGTAAACTAGGTTCACAGCTTCTCACTGATGCTGCTGCCAGCTTCAGCTTGCCAGCCAGTCAGCAGCAATCTATTGCTGCCACAGTGCAGCTTATTGCCTTTTCCAGACAGCTATCTCCATGCTAGGAATCCCCAATTGGACCTTGGCGGGTGGGGGCCTGCTGCTTGAAAGGTGGCCCATGGATTGACATTGCTCTGAAGTCACCTACAGCATCGACTCAGAAGTTTTTCGGGCAGCTTGTCCAGGTCAACTGCTTGAACAGCGTAACCGGGGTGAAGTTCCTCTGAAGTCACTCAGTGCCAGAATCATTGCGTCACACAATTGCCTTTCGTGTAGATCCGGGCTTGTTATTGAGGAATGATGGACAGAGCCGCCTCAATGTCTTCCATCGTTATAGTCACAAGCTCGTCCATGTCACAGCAGTCAAGATCCAGCCGTTCGTCCAGTCGATCTCGCGCGTCCATTAGCACAGGCAGCGCCATCCCACCATTCCTCTGCCTTCGCTGCTCCTCTGTGGTTGATCGGGCAATAACAGCTGCTAGGGACGATGGAGTAATGCTGGGATGCAACCTGCAGTCATACAGAAAAAGAGGACAGGAGGGTGAGGAGTAAGGAGAGGAAGAGGGGGAAGCAGTGGGTGGGAGGAAGGAGTGAGTGTTTGAAATGCATGACAAGAATGCACAAATAGCAAATCGATGTGTGTAAAGAGGGATGAGGTTTGTGTGCAATATTGTACTTGGTCTTCTGTCCATTACCTGAATCCTGCAAGGGGCGACTGTTGACTGGCTTCACTATAGTCACTGTTGCTGCTGCTGCTGCTGCTGCCACTGGCACCTGTTCCAAAGTCACTTCCGCTACCACTGCTGTTGCTACTGACACTGCTAGCACAGTCAACGTCACGCTCATCCCCGTTAGTAGAAGGTTCCCCAGCCACCTGCTTCATTTTCAACAGCATGACTTGCGCAATGTCGAGTGGAGAGAGATCATCAAACACGAATACTCGTGACACACGCCGCTGAAACCCCTCGTTCACTGCAAAGACCCGCTTCATTGGCTCGGCATAGCCTGGAATAGAGGAGGGAAGGAGAGCAGGGGAAGGTAAGATAAGATAAGGAAGAGTACACATGTAACACATATGAAAAGTTACCAATATGTTACACTACCCATGTCCTGAAATCTTCAGCACCACCCCAGCTTCCCATCAATCCAAGCGAGCAGAACTCACCAGCGAAAATCACAACAATGCTGCCCGAGTCCATCACCGACATGATCTCCTCCAACGCCTCCGCGCCATAATCTTTTTCATCTGACCGCTGCTGCGGCACCAACCGGTACGCCTCGTCCACAAAAAGAATTCCCCCAGCCGCCTCCAGAATTTTCCGCCGCGTTTTCGGGCCTGTGTGCCCAACAAACTCGCCCACCAAATCCGTTCTCTGAACCTCTACCACCTTATCCGTGGGTAAAACACCCACTAAATTCAACAGCCGCGCAAGCGCGCGCGCCACGGTGGTTTTCCCCGTGCCCGGGGAGCCCAGGAAAGCCATGTGCGGGGGTTTGCGCGGCTGCACGCGGATTCCCAATTCCCGCCGCTTCTGATCTAAGACCAAGCCTTTCGCCCACACGCGCAGCTGCTGCTTCAATAGCGGGAGGCCTATTAAAGAGGATAACTCTTTCTCGAGCGTTTGCATCACGACGGATGCGGAGCTGGGGGAGAGGGACGGAGTCGGGGACGGAGCGTGGAGTGCCACGTGGCGGTCGAGGATTCGCCGAAGGGAAGCGCGGATACCGCTGTTGTTGCTGGTGCTTGTAGCGGATGAGTTGCCTGATTGAACGTGACTCAAAGGGGAGTTCCCATCCTTGTCTTGCGCTGCCACGTCAGCACCGTGCTTCAGCAGCAGCTCCACCACTTCCAGAATCGTCGGCTGGCCCGTTCCAGCCGAAGCCCCTCCCGCGTTGCAGTCGGCTGCCACGTCAGCAGTGTTGAGTGCCGCCCAGACGGCGAGATGGAGCGGCGTGGCGCGATTCTGCCATCGAGGAGGAATAAAATCGGATAGGAAGAAATTTCAGAAACTCTGCGAATGACTGAAGCGGTGAGGCGGGGAGGGACGTGAGAAGGATAGAAGTGCGCAGGGTAACGGGAGAGGGGGCAAAGCGATGGCATGAACTACGTAATCAATGACCTCCACGCGCCTGCACGCCGCAGCACTTTCCCCAGCCAGACCCTCCCCGCAGTTCTTTCTCCTAGCCAGCTGAAAGCACGCGCGCCCCAGCTCTGTCCCCAGCATACACGAAATCCAATAGCGACCTGCCACTCACCGACGCAGCGGCGTTGGCGGCCGCGCCGCCTTCGAGCAACGCCTTGACGCTCCTCGCGCTGCCGCACTTGGCGGCGATGTGCAGAGGCGTCTCGCCGAACTGAACGGGAAGACGGGAAATGGTGAATGCAGGGCAGGGGACGGGCGGGAGGTGGAGGAAAGGGGGAGCGGAGGGTGCAGGGGAAGGATGGGGCGGAGGGAGAGGGTGAGTGGGCGCGCAGAGACGTTTTGCCGAAGTGAACGGGAAGACGGGAAATGTTAAATGCAGGCCAGGTGACGGGCGGGAGGTGGGGGAAAGGGGGTTGGGTTGGGGGAGCGCGCGAACTCAGCATGATTTCAGCGTTTCTCACCATGTTGCGCGCTTCGACGTCCGCAGGGATTGCGCCTGATGCGTCCTCTCGCGTCTCCCTATCCTCGCCGCCACTCCCCGCAACTGACGGCGGTCGGCCGAACGACAGGAGCACACGAATAGCCTCCGCCGCATCTTCCGCCGCCGCTTCGTGCAGGGGGGTTTGGCACGTCTGTTGGCGGGGGGAGGCGCGCGTGGGGAAGGGGGAAGGTGGGAAATAAGAGGAGGTGGGTGAATGGGAGAGGAGAGGGAGGGGGGGAAGAGGGTGGAGGGGGGGAGAGGGGGGGGGGGAGGGGAGGGGGGAGGAGGGAGGGGGGGAAGAGGGTGGAGGCGGGGGAAGGGGAAGGGGGAGGAGGGAGGGGGAGGGTGAGAATGGAGGGCAAGGTGGTTGGAACTATCGGTGTTCGGAAACATGAGACGCGAGTAAGCGACCCTGATTCCTTCACTCACCAGGCTCGACCGCGCGTTAATCAGCTCCGGACTTTCCGCCAGCAGCGCTCGAAGCTCCTCCACGTCGTCGCGTCGGGCCGCGTTGTGCACGGCGCGGCTCGTGGCGGACCGCCGCTGCATCGCGACGAATGCGGCGGGCGGGGCGGCAGCAGCTGCAGGAGATGCTTTGGTTACAGGAGCAGAAGCAGCGGCGGGCGTGGCAGGGCCGACAGTAGCGATGACGTCAGCAACCTGGTCAGCAGTCTCCGCCGCTTCCGCCGCATCAGCCGCTGCTCGCTCCACGTTCAACGTGAGCGCTGTCGTCTCTGGTACCAGGCCCATCCTCGCCGCATTCTCCGCTAGTTCCTCCAATTTCCCTGCGTTTTCCGCTAACAGCAGCACTCTCTGTAAATCAGCCGCTGCCGCTGCCGACGCCGCATCCGCCAAAGCCGGCCTACCAGGAGACGCGGCCCCAGACCCCTCAGAGCTACTTAGATCCTCCGCTTCTTCGGAGCGAGTAGAGCTTAGACTAAGTAGCGAGTTAGAGCTCCACTCAGAGGTAAGGGCCGCGGAATCCGACGTGCTTGAATCAGATAAGCTTGTATCGGAGGAACATGAGTCGAACGAGTCGCTTGCCGGCGTCGTTCCCATCGCCGCAGCCGCCCGGACAACCGAGTCCTTCCACTCCATCATGGACTTGCCGGTCACAGGCAACGGCCCACCGTCAGCCTCGCCGGCGACCGGCAACATCGGCGGCGGGGATGGCGGCAGGTCTGACGATTGAAAAACTGGAGCAAATTGACACCAAGCCATGGCGGGAGGGAGTTTGGTGGTTGCAGGGAAGGCGAGGACGGGGCTGTTATCAGCATGCGTCCCCATTGAAACAGCTTGGTGTTACCTTGCGCGACGCAGGAGTTAGTTTAAGTCAGGCGTGTAATAGTCTACGCGTGGGCGGAAACGCGAAAACGGGACAACGGCTGACCCAAAGGGAGCCCGAATTGAGTTAAGAGCTACTGAATGTTAGTCTGACTACAAGTTCAGTGTTGAATCGAAGCGAGACGGCCATACGCACTAGAAACCGAGAGCTTGAGATGGTGAGGAACGAGCATAATCAGATTTCTTGCTGTGGCGTAGCCACGACGGATCAGTGTTGAGGTTTGGCACAGTGACCCTTGGTGGTGGTAAGGGCAATAGGAGCCCAGGCCAGAGAATCAGAGTGACTTTAAGGGTGGAGTGGAAGGCTGGGGAAGCGACTGCTGCGCGGTGCGGAGTGGATGGCGAAGGTGGAAAAAGAAGTAGGGAACCCCAGGGTGGCGCCTAGGAAGACGGGGCGTTGATGGACGTGAAAGCCGGGGCGGAAACGGCGGTTGAAATGACAGGGGACGGAAGATACCGTAAGTCAAGAAAGGCGAGTGTTGTGGAGAAAATCACAGCACAGCACGATGTGGGGAAAAGAGCGTTGGGTTGGGTGGTGGGAGTGAGTGGTAGTGATGGGTTGGGGTTACTGGGGTTAAAATAGCGTTTTAATACGGTTCAGATGGATTCATTCTGGTACCGCATGGTTGGTACGTGTAAAAACCTGCGTCGAAGTACATTCCCTAGCAAGCGATGCTGATCACAAACAGCCAGGATCTGGATGGGCAGTGCGGGCAGGAGGAAGTATGATGTGGCTATCGCGTCGCAACAACGAGGCCGTCAACTCTGAGTTGCGCCTGGTTACGATCGCAGCTCGTCGCTGATCAAAGCTTACCGTCGGATGGAAAAATCGGACGAGAAGCACACAGTGAACGAGGTGGAGCCGCGGGGCGTTGATATTCGTGCGATCCGGTCCGTCGTCTCACCGTACAAGTCGTGGTTTACAAGGGAGACCCTTGTGACGCAAAAGCAGGGCAACCAGCGAAAGTGGTCGGGCTGCCCGGACGACGTCGCGCGTGAAACAAGTCGAATAGTATCATCTCCGTGAAAGATTGAATATCAACCGTCAGATTGCATCTTGTGGTTCAGTGTGGTGTGGTAACGAGCCCATCACGGGGCTTGCGAAGCAATACGATTGGCTGTCATTGTTGTAAAGGCTTTCAACGTGAAAACGCGGCCAGCCCCCAAATCACTGTGCCGGAGAAGGCGGTCCGGAACTTCGATTTGATGGTGGCGGCGTGACGGCCCGCATGTGTGCTTTGAGCGCATGGTGCCAAACGAAGGTGCCTGTAAATCGAGAACGTGACAAGCGCGAGTCGAAAATATTCGCTAGTAGGAGCCGCACATTTCGCCTACGATGTGAAGATGGAAAAGATCATACTCCTAATGAAAATCAAAATATTCTAAAGAGCTCAACCCTCTCGCAGACTACTTTGCCTGCCATATGCATGTAAGCAGCCATGCTCAGTGAACAGCCACCATACTGAATCAGACTGTGCCCTGGTTGAACGTATGGGAACAAGTTGAACTCCTGGAAGTAGTATGTTTGGACAACATGTGTTCGCCGTATCTGCTGCGCCCTCTTAGGCCATGTAGTATGTCATTAGCGACGCCAAATCCTAAAGCAACTACTCGTATAGTACCATACAATACCATCTTACATCACAAATCCGTATTTTGAGAGCCCCTCTTAACAAGCAAGCACGCTAGCCTATACGGGTAACCCACGATATGCGGGGAGCAGCAGAGCACGTAATCAGGCTTGTGAGCAGTCAGGTTGAACACCCCCGAGTCAAGCTCAATAGCGGTCACATCTAGCAGCACGTGCCAGCAGGTGCGCTGAGCCTCAGACACCCAGTGCAGGGAGAAGGTTTGGCCGTTTGCACACATGGGGTAGGCAAACAGACCCTGTCGGGGGGCGGGGGTGTGGGGGAAAGGCGAGGAGTGGGGGGAGAATTGAGGAAAGGCGGCCCTGATGATTTTGGGGAGCCTAACATCACATTTTCTGCTTGAACCAGAAAGAAGCAACCTAAACAGCAACGCCAACTCAGCTGTATGACATGCAAATCCAATTGAACAAGGCAGCCTAAAAACCAGAGCTATTCACCTTAGGGTTGGCTTTGCTCTTGCGCCTGAAATTGGTGCTGAGCTGGCTTCCCGGCTTCTGCAGGTCGAGCCATGATAGGGGCGCCTGGATCACCTTGGAGTCCTGAAGGGAGGGAGTGAAGGAGGATGACGGTTTTCAAGGCGCCATGGGGGTTTTTGAGACATCTCCAAAGGCTCTGCAGGTCGAGCCATGACAAGGGCGCCTGGATCACCTTGGAGTCCTGCAGGGAGGGAGTGAAAGAGGAAGACGGTTTTCAAGGCACCATGGGGTTTTTGAGACGTCTATGAAGGCTTCTGCAGGTCGAGTCATGATAGGGGCGCCTGGATCACCTTGGAGTCCTGTAGGGAGGGTTAGAATGGGGACGGGAGAGGGGAAGAGGAGGTAGGCGTAAGCGACCAGTGCCATGACCTCCTGCACTGAGGGCGTGAAGACAATGTGGTACTCCTCGCTCTCCACACTCTTCTTGCTCTCCTCCCTCCTCCCTCCTCTCCCTCTCCTCTCTCTCCACGCCACACGCACGCAAGCAAGCACACACCATGAGCATTCTGAGCCAACCCTACCCAGGAAACCACAGAGGAGGAAGAAGAGGAAGAGGGTATTTCTTGGCCACAACACCTGGGAAAGGTCCCTGTTGTTCAACCTGTTGGGCGTACCTTATGCGTCGCAAACATGCTGATGCTGTCATCAGTCTGATCCAAAGCGGTGAGGAACACGTTGTGGCGGTGAAAAGGGTACGCTTCAGCAACCAGCACCATGGCCTCCTGCACCGAGGGCGTGAAGACTATGTGGTACTCCTCGCTCTCCACACCGCACTGCTGCAGAATGCGCCTCCGAGCGTGGAGCTCCGTGACAGAGACGCTCATTGAGAGATCCAGCACGTCACGGCTCTCCAACAGGATGTCCTGCGGGGGGAAAGGGAGGGAGGGAGGAGTGTAAGGAGGTGATGACAGAGAGGGAAGGGAAGTGGGAGGGGGGGAGGGGATGCCCCAGTGGGAAATGGAAACGCAAAGGCGCCATCCAACACAGGAAAGTGGGGAGGGGGGAGGGTGGTGATGGGGCAGAAGGGATGGCGTGTGAATGTAATTCCCCTCTCTCGTTATAAGCATTTCTGCCACTTTCTTGGACTTTTACTAACGAGGGATAATAAGCTCCTCGTTTGGAATTATCCCTCTCCCTCTCCCTTTCACCCACCCGCAGTCTGCTCGGGTTCAGCAGCGCGCGCGTGGCCTTGACCGTCCCGACGGGGGAGAGGGATACTATTACAGCGATATCTCTCCCTCACTCTGTTCCTCTCCCTGCCCCTTCCACTCACCCGCAGTCTGCTCGGGTTCAGCAGCGCGCGCCCCGGCTGCGTCGCGGTGACCGTTCCCGAGGGGACGAAGCGCGAGAAGAGACGCGACTTGTTTTCCGACGGGGACGACGCGGAGAAGGAGGGCGGAGGGCCGTTGCGCTGCATCATCATGCGCTGCTGCTCCATCTGCTGCTTCTGCTGCTGCATCTGCTGCTCCATCTGCTGCTTCTGCTGCTGCAGCGAGTCGCGCATCAGCGGAACCACATTTCCTCCCCCCGCCGCAGTGGGACTGCTGCTGTGCGCGCGGAACTGCGGAGACGCCGTTCCGCTGCTGCTCCCCCCCGCGCTTACGGTGCTGTTACTCCTTCCGAAGACCGCGCCCGCTCCGCCCATTCCGCCGTATCCCCCTTCCCCCTCCGCGTCCCCCTCCTCGTCATCCATCGCGAGAAGTTCCGCCATGGGGGACAATCCCCCGCCGCGATACCCGCCGCCGTCGGGCTCCTCTAACACGCACGGCATGGGGAATCCGAGCCCCACGATGCACTCCGTGAAAATCGCCGGGTAACGCGCTTTGACGTAGTCTTCGACGTAGCGCATCTCGTTTTCCGAAATCGGCGCGGACCAGCGCACGTCGAGCGCCGGCTCGCCCTTGTTTCCGCGCAGCGCGGCCATGGCTTCCGCGACAATGTGCGGCGGAATCTCGACCCGGCCTTGGCTGATCTGCGGGGGATGGGAGGGGAGAGAGGGGGAGACAAGGGGGGGTGCGGAATGCGAATGTGAAGCGCGGCCGTGGCTTCCGCGAGAATGTGCGGAGGAATCTCGAATCGCCCTTGACTGATCTGCTCGGCGTGACGGACAGCGCGAAAAAGAGGGGGAAACTGGCAAAAGGAACTAAACGAACTAAAAAAAGAGAGGGGGAAGATGGAAGGGAAAAAAAAAAAACGAAAACAGAAGAAAGAAAAGAGCTGACAAGGGGGTACGGAGGATTCGAGGAAATGAGGTAAGGAGTCCAAAGCGTAAGGCATGTGCCGCCAGTTCGGCTTCACGTCGTCGAACAATTCTGATTCCTAACAACTGATCCGGATGCGATTGATCATAGTTCGTTCCAACAAAACCTGCTAGACTACAAATTCGCAGCTAACGATTAAGCATAAAAAAACAACTCAGAAAATGGCCTCCTTACCGCGTCGTCCATTATTGATGCTTGTGACAATGAACCGCCTCGACGCTCCGAACAAACAATTGTCTTTGATAGGTATCGACGGAATGAACTTGAGATTCTGTGTGTTTTCGACCGCAATGCGTTGCGTAGTGCTTGCTCCGAGGATTGCAATGACGACCGTCGATATTACGGTTGATCGGCTTAGCTTGGCATTACTGTGCGACCAGAATAATGCCAGGACACCAGCGACTCGAGCGTCGCGTTGCGACGGACTGTAATGTTCCGTGCCATCACGTGCGTCGCGTAATAGCGTCGCATAAGCGTAGCGTCTTTGATTTGGCGCGTAGTTGCGACGAGTACTTGCCTGTCCTGACGAGCTCTTGTGTGGATCCGCAGCCGCCATTTCAATCGATTATCCCCTCGTGTCGTGTCGTGTCGTGTCGTGTCGTGTCGTGTCGTCGAGTCGAGTCGAGTCGCTGGTTCGTCGCAAACGCTTGCGCGAGAAACCGAGGGGAAGAGTCGAGAGATGATTCACGAGTTACCGCACTTGACGGCGATAACACAACCAATGCTGGTTCAGAAACAACACCATGCAAAGAAAATGGGAAAGTAGCTTTGGCAGGGGTACTACTAGCGACCCTGCGCTTCGAAGGGGACTACAGTGACAGTAGCGGGCACTTTCCACCCATCCGTGCCTCAGACAGGAAAGTTATGGAAACAAGACAGTAATCTTCACCACATTCATCCACGACAGCGGGCACTTTGTCTGTGTTACGTTTTACGTTTTACCTATATGGGTGAGCTTAATTAGAGTGAAAAATATAGCTGTTATATATACTATTAGCCTGATAGCTTACATAGATTTTACTGCTATTTTCAGGGATGGAAATATGTACATTGATCTCGAGTTTCTTATCTCGATGTGTTCTATGTGCAATTAAATCCACGTGGCACCCGCCTGGACATACTTGCGCTCTGCCGTCGGATGAACATCGGAGACGGAAGAATAACCTCTAATCAACCAACCAGCGAACCTCGAGTGCCTCGGTCACACGTCAGGTACACAGCATCCAAAGCACTTTTTCAGGTCATATAGTGCCTTCGCGCCGCTTTGCAATACCAATAGACTGCACGGAAACTCAAAGAAACGTACAAAACCGCATCCAACCTAGTACCTGAAAAGTTCTGGTCGGAATCTGATCTACACTTGAAGCCAGGATGCTTTATCTCAGAGCCAGCACAGCCTCTGAGTAATCTTCGTAGTTCTTAGTTCTCAGAACCAGCACGGTATCTAACCTTATATCCAGCTTGAAGCTGCCTCCAGGAAGCCCGCATAGCGTCGTTCGAGATTTCTCAGCGACATCGTTCTCAGTCATGGCGTTGTGCCTGCGAGGAGGCGTTTCTCCTGTCACTGTTTCGGTCAATGTCGCAAGGTACAATGAAGCGGACATTGTCCACCTTAGACATTGCTGAAGCGGAATTTTGGGCCACTCAATTTCTTTCTTATCGCCAACGTCGTGAATAACGACGAAGCGGACACGGACTGCAATGTGTCAGCGCGATCTGTAACCATTTTCACACTCTTTCAGAATGTTTCAGAATCCCGAATCGCGTCGTCTCTGCATTATTCTCCTACTTTCCTGTTCTTAAGCTGTAATTTACTTAAACACGTACGCCTTCTGAACTTTTTTCACGTTTACAAAGTGCATCTGATTATCGTGATTCTTTCCGCTCCATATCCTCCTTCTCCCACCAGATATAAGCCTGCCAACCGCCGCTTCCCGTCTCGCCTGCAGCTGCATTCCTCACGAATCTGCATGTCTGACCTGACAAATTCCCTGAAAAGTCGCCTGACGAGCCACGCGATAGGTCAGCGCACGGCCAGCTGGGTGAGAAACGGTTTTATGACTGAAACGGGGGGTGGAGAGTGGGACGAGGAGGACGAAGAGGAATTCGAGGAAGAGGAGGAGGAGCATTGGGAAGAGGAAGAGGAGGAGGTGGAGGAAGAAGAGAGGGTAGAGACTGTTCAAGTCCAGGCGAGGTTGTATGAGGATTCTTCAGGATACAGCGAAGGGGATGAGCATCATCCGGAGGAGGAGAAGAAGCAGGAGAAGCAGGAGAAGCAGCAGCCGCTGCAATGGCTGGCAGAAGGAGCTGCTGCTGCGTTGAAGGGAGCCGTGGAGGGGGGTGTTGTGGCTGCTGCCGTGGGGGCTGTCCTTGAGGGTAGTCAGCCCGCGGAGGAGCATTCGGACAGTGATGCGCGGGAGAAGGCCGAGGAGTATACCGCCACCATGCAGGTGGCCATGGGGAACACAGGTGCGTGCTTCTAACCATTCATACGATTCTGAGGATGTATGAAGCCATATGCTCAACTGTAGGAGCACGGGCGCGTAGTTAATATTCGCGCATTCGAAACGCACCGACCCTCGTTCTCCGCTCCCCCTGCGCATGTGCACCCTGATCGACGCTGCAACGATTTTTGAGTCCAGCTAGATTGTATTACCACCTCCTCGTCGCCTCTCCCCATCCCTCTTCCTCCTGGCACGTGTGTCTTCACACACTCACTCCAACCATCGCTCCCAGCGCCGGGTTGAAATCGCTTTTGAGTCTCTTAGAGTGATTTCAACATTGTCTTCACACAGTCACTCCAACCATCGCTCCCAGCACTGGCCTACCACCAAGAGCTGGCCATGAACGCTCTGATCTGACCCTGTCCTCATGCTTTCTCTTCCCCTTCCCCCCCTCTGCGCAAGTACACTCTGATATGATTTGATCCAATCTGGTTTGATTGTGCCTTGCAGCGCTGGTCTACCGCCATGAGTTGGGCATGAACTATGCGCGCGTGCTGCCCAACCTCCTCGTCGGCTCCTGCCTTCAGGCGAGTGCGCTCGCTGCTTATCACACTGCCGTTCCTTCCCCCCCTTTTCCCACTGCCATTCCAACCCACCCCTTTCCCCTCGTGCCTTTCCCCACTCCCCCCTTTCCCCGCTGCCTTCCCTCTCCTCACGTTTTCCCTACTGCCTTCCTTATCCCCACTTTACTCCATCACTCCTCTTTCTGTTTCCCCTTTGTCTTGTCGCTCTTCAATGCTTCTTTCTCTGGACTTGTACCCCTTATAAGTCGCCTCGCTGTCACTGCCTCTATTGTGTTCCCTGTTATCCCGGCCACCTGGTACAGTCCCCCTTGGATCTAGACCACCTGCGGGACGTGGAGGGCGTGGGGGCGGTGCAGTGCCTGCAGCGGGACTCAGATCTCGAGTGAGTGGCGTTAAGAGAATTCACTGGTTGAGACGTCAATTGTCAAGTAAGGAAATGTCTAGTCAGCTTAGAGGCCATTATCAGTCTATGTAGAAGTCAGATTCAGTCAAGCCGTGGTTCTTTCTCGGTGGAACTTGCATTTGGGTCATATTGAGAAAATGCCATTCGCAACAGATAGGTCACCCTGTGCATGCGCACGTACTATCCCCCAACAGGTACTTTGATCTGGATATCAACCCGATCATCGAGCGGGCGGCAGAGCGTGGGGACATTCGGCACTTGTGGACGGAGATCAGGGACTTTGACCCTTTTGATCTGCGCATGCAGCTGCCAAGGGCTGTAGCAGCGTTGCACAAGGCAGTGATGGAGTGTGGCACGGCGTATGTCCACTGCACTGCTGGCCTTGGCAGGGCTCCGGCTGTAGCGGTGAGCACTATTTGTAGTGGTGAGTTTTGACTGTAGCGCTGGTTTAGTCAGCAGCTGTAGCAGCGCTGCACAAGGCAGTGATGGAGTGTGCCATGGCATATGTGCACAGCACTGCGGGCCTCGGCTGGACCCGGGCTGTAGCGGTGAGTTTTGGCTGTAGCACGCGTCTAGCCAGCAGCAGTAGCAGCTTCTTCTTGCCACCGTCATCCCGTCAAGCCTTCAAGCATTCAAATCAGGCACCCATTCTGTCACCATCTCCATTCATCTCCCCTCGCACTTTCTAAATCTCCTCTGTCTCAGCTCCTTACCCTATCTCTGCTCCTCCCACCCCTTCTCTTCTCCGGTTCCCTTCTCCACTCCTCTACACCCCTCTCCACGCCTCCCCTCTTCCACTCCTTTCCGTCCCACGCCTTCCCTCTCCATGCCTCTCCATGCCTCTCCCCCCTTCTTCTCCCCTCCTCGAGTGCCTCCTCCCTGACTGACTGTTTTCACAGCTTGCCTACATGTGGTGGATGCGCGACCTTCAACTGGAAGAGGCGAATGAAATCCTGCAGGTATGTGTTGGGGAGGGGAGAAGAGGGGATGGTGGTGGGGAGGAAGCAATCGGCAGGGGTGGAGGGGAGGGAACACTAATGAGCAACGCAGCGGAGGAGAGATATGGCAGCTAAGATATCACAGTTTTCTATGTTCATCCCAAGTTTACTCATGTTCGTCAATGCTTATCTATGTTAACTCCGTGCTTCTCCATGCTCATTGATGTTCATCTATGTTCATTCTGTATTTCTGTGTGGTTCTGAGTGCAGAAAGTCCGTCCGTGTGGGCCGAAGCTGTTTGCCATCCGAGCAGCTGCATGCGATCTGGTAAGCTACACATGCCTCATTCATCCTGATCAACATGCCTCATTCATCCTGATCAACATGCCTCATTCATCCTCCTCAACATGCCTCATTCATCCTACTCAACATGCCTCATTCATCCTACTCAACATGCCTAATAAACGCTACACAGCAACACATGGCACGTTCCTCTACGCCCCTCGTACGATCTTGGGGCGTGGAGGGACAGCATAAGGCACGAATTCCTCGTTTATCCATCGCCATGGCAAATGCGAGGAATGAAACAAACGGGCAGAGGTAGCAGGTGGGGTTCGAGTTGAGTTCTAACTTGCCCACTATGATTTCCTCTTCTTTTTTTACTGTATTCCCTCCTCGCACACAATGAGCTGGACGGTTGTGCATGAGCTGACTATTAACCTGCCCACAATGTTCCTTTCTCCTTCATAAATGACCGTCCCTCCTCTCAGCTAACCGGCAATCCCCTGGAGAAAGTGGAGATCAACTGGAGGAACCGAGGAGTGAATGAGACAGTGGAGGTGGCAGGCCTGGATGTGGGCTGGCACCATGTGAGTGGCTGGTGATTGTTGGCCACGTGAGAGGGTAGTGATGGCCACTTGGCACCATGGGCGGACGGACCTTTGGCGGGCATGACATGCCAGTTTGCCTATGTAACCAGATTGCCTACCTGTAAACCCTTGGCTTCTAGAGCTTGCAAATCTCATCGAGTCATCTGCACAATGCCTCTTCGCTTCATCTCTCAAACACAACATTCTTCCCTGCTACCCCCCCCTCTGGTCTTCCTCGCAGCGCCTGCCATTGACTCGTGAGCCAGCATCCAACACATGGACACTCACAAGAGAGCTGCCGGTACGTTTCAGTTTCGGTATGGTGTCACTTGCAGGTATATTCCAGCTGAGCTGTAAAGGTACTACACTTTATGCATACATGTGTTTATGCGTGCTTAATAAGTGGTGGCAGTGGCCGGGTATTGATTTGGAAGCGCTTAAAAAATGCTTTTCCATGTGCATTCATTGATTCCTTTTTGCTTCTGCGGTTTGCAGATTGGCACATATTATTACAAGCACATCGTGAATGGAACGCACTGGTCATACAACCCCGATGCGCCTCTCACTGCTCCTGATCGTGACTACAATGTTAACAACTACATTGAGGTATGGCACTGTCCTTTCAGGAACCATTTCACAGATTGAATTGGTCTCGCCAATGTTTTTTTAGCCCCGGTTTTGTGATTACCCATGCCCAAGTTTGCAACAACTGAGTACACCATTGACCATTCTCGCACCCTGTCTGTCCTTTTTCATCGGGGACAGGTTGTGGGCTCTTCGCTTGAGCCAGCAGCACGTGACCTGCGGAAGAGGATCATGCAGGAAGGGGCTCCTCTAACCCAAGAAGACAGAGCAGCGGTGGTTGCCAAGATTATTGAGATTGCAGGGACTTTGTAGGTGGTTGAAAGCTCGGTCTGCTTTTAGTCACCGTGTTCTTACTTACCTACATTTCGAGTAATACCGTAGTTTTTGCTAGAGCAAGGCAATGTTTTTTTTGCCAACAATACTCCACAAGCATCCCATTAGTGACTGCAAATGCAATGTGAAGAACACAATGATGGCCTTTGGCAGTAGAGCAGTTAGATAAAAATCCACAGGTACCGGTACCTAACACATAACGACGTCAGCTAAACGCTAGCATGCAACGGGTTGTGGCAGCTCATGAAACAGCAACTACCGTACATCAATGCTGCAGTGTAGATGTCTTTTTGCTCTACTCTTCATCATCAGCGATTGTATCAAACGAGAATGGTAGGAACTTGTATCCATCTCCAGTGTAGAACTTGTTCATGAACTCGACCCAGTGCAGACGGAGTGCATGGAGGAACGCACTGAGAGTCTCCATGAGTAGAAGCACACCAACGGTTGCTGATGCAAAGACAAAGAATCCAATGATAATGAAGATGGTGTTTCCAGACCTGCAAGGATAAGAAACATCAAGTTGAGACCGAGGTACTTTCCCAACCAAAATAGCAGAAAGAGAAGGAAAGTGCAGTGGACGTCCGAACAAGTGGACAGAGACAAATAGCAAACTTACTCGAACGCTGGAAGCAGAACTCGCTCAAAGAAGACAGCTGAAAGTTCTGCATGTGCCAAGCTGTTTCCATGGGAGAAGGTGACAGAGAAACAACAGAATTTGAGAGAATCAGGTACGTGAACGCCCAACATAGTGTAAACATCTGAGACGACTAAAAAAAAGCATGCTCAAAGGGTGTATTGAAAGTGCACCTGAGAGCCCAAAGACGCAGGTAGGAGGCCGTGTTAGAGACGGCGCCCAGCACAAACTCGATGGTGTGAATCATCTGATGCACCATCACCTCCCCAAACTCAAACTCCTCCTCATGTTGATGATGGTGCAATTGCCCCTCCTCCCCTGGATGCAACGCCTCCATCTCATACAGTTCATTGTCTGAGTTCAGCGCTGCATATGCTCGCCCCTGACGCTTCTGTATTCAGGGAACAGATGCATGGTACGTATCATGTGAAGTGGGGGGAGAGGGGGGGAGGGGGGAGAGTGAATATAGGACAGCAACGTCGAGGCGCTTACTTGCTTTGTCAGACCAAAGTGACAAGAGCAGCAGAAAAGGCACTAGCTCTTACACATGCTTGTTGCAAGTTTCAGGTGGGACCAATAGCAGCTTCAGCAACAGACTGACCTTCATGTGCTCAGCCCGTAGAATTAGAGGCTTGGGAAAGAGCATCCACGGAACAGAAATCAGTGCAATAAGTAGCAAGACGATCTGCAAAGCAAGAAAGATTTGAGCAGGAAGCACAATCATTAATAGACACTAACTGAAGGAACAATATCAAGCTTGCGATGCCAGAGAAGTGATGTGACCACACGTGAAAATAGGTAAACTGACCTGAAGTGTTCCTTGCCCCCAAAACAGCTCGTTCTCTCCCAGTGGCTCAGTGGGGTTGAGAAACATGTAGATCATGACATGATAGAGATCAGCTTGGGAAGCTGTGATCCACTTGACTATGATGAGCAGCGAGAGATAGCCGAACAAAGAAGCCAAGAATAGGACCTGTGGGATGAACTCGTACCTACAAGTGGTGAGGAGATACAGATGCATGGAGATGGATGAGAGTGAAGGCACAGGAATAAAGACACACCAAGGGACGTGAATCGTGATGCACAGAAGCAGGTAAAGACTCATTCAAAACACAATGAAGTCGGAAAGTGTGTGAAGCACCCACCAGATGTTGAGTGGCAGGTCAAAGAAGAGGGCGTTGCAGAGGCTGAGAGCAAGGCCCAGAAACATGTGAGTGACTCCCAGCACAATGCTCATCTTCATCTTGAGTGAGTTTAAGAAGGGCAGCTCTGTGCGAGAGCCCTTCCATCGAGGGTCCACTCCAAAAAGGTACGTGTTGCCTGTCTTCACCAAACCAGCAGAGGCTGCATCACTGATCGAGTTGGAAGGAGGAGGAAGGATAGAAAAAAGGTGGTGACAGAATGAAGGAGGGTGGACAAGAATTATGGGGGCCAAAAATGAAGATGAAGAAGAGCGGAGAGTAAGTCAGCCAACATGAAGACGAATGGCGGCATGCAATGGCACATGTGAAAAAAAAGAAATTGCTCAAACTGCAAGAAAGAACTGCCAAGAGAATATAGGGGTGACTGTACCCGCAGTCTGGGGTGCGACAAGTGTATGCCGAGCCACCAAATATGGCAAAATCGAAGGCGACAGCAAAGAACTCGTTGTAAACGAAGCCAGTGTAGATGGAGAAAATAGACATAAGCAGGATGAGGTAGCGGCCTCCATACACCATCTCCATAATGTCACCAAGTTTCTGCAGCATGAAATTCAGATAAGGTTAACAGGTAAAGAACATCACGGGTTAACATCACGGACCATGTCCTTGTCTGAAAGGTTAAAACGAACATGAAAACACATTGTCAATAATCACCTGGGAGCCCAACTTCCTCTCGTTCTTGACAAGCCAAAGGGATGCAAGGAGCATCAGGATGCCATGACCCCAGTCACCAAACATGATAGCAAAGAGAAATGGAAAGGTGATGATGGTAAAAACCCCAGGGTTGGCCTCCCGGTACCGTGCCATGCTGCCACAACAGAAGAAAGTGGATGAAGCAAGAAGAATAAGCAGTGCTACTAGAAGTGATTTTCACAAATCAGGGTACTCCCATTTTAAAGAAAAGAAATGCCTACCCGTAAGCATCGATGATCCCTTGAAAAGCACCAGTGAACTTGTTGGTCTTAAAGTATGTCGGAGGGGACTCGCCATGACGAATTGTCTGAAAGATAGTACCCACATCTGCCTTGCTCATCGTTACTGCACGATGAAGAGCATCTTGAATCTGCAAATCAGCATGCAAGCCAGTTTTGACATTAAAATGCCATGTGGTTCTCATCACTGCTCTCAAATCCAAATCATGATTAATAATCTAGCAATGCTCATCATCAGCCATACCTCTGACTTCGCATAAACAGGGCACCATGCCTCAGCCAGAAGGCACTTGCGAGTGACGTCGATGGACAGCTGGTTCAATATGTGGTAGATAGCCTTCTCCCTTCGAACCTGCTCATGCATTATCAACGCTTTGTGTCATCTTTAAAAAAGGGGGGAAGTAGGATAACTGATGCACAGTTGATAATGGTGGTGGGAAAAGGGAGCAATTCTATGGTTCCGTACCAGGCTTGCCCAGTTTTCGATCTGGTAGCTTATGTTGTTCAGCAAACTATCTCTGTGTCTGTTGCCTGCATCAATGGTGGTCTGCAACTCCGATAACCGTGCGATGACCTGCCATTTAAAAAGGCTATTTAGAGTATGACTCGGGGGGGATTGCGACCACTAATGTATGAACAAGAAAAAACTGGCAGACAGAAGCTGGTTTGGGGTTTTCTGAACTCACCTCAGAATGCATTTGCCTCTGTTTCTGTGGGTCCTCTGGAAATGGGTAGCGATTTGCACCAAATGCCTCACAGATTTTCATGATCTTAGTCCGAGCTCGTTCACCAGCAAAGAAAACAACGAAGACCACCTTCTCCACCTGTAAACAGAAGCCACATGTTAATGCCAGTAGCACCTGAAAGACTGCTCTCAGCATATGGTAGAAACTCATACTTCTTCTCCTGTTGCGGGATCCACTACTGGCTCGTCAAGCTCCTCCTGCTTAAGGTACATGTTTCCACGAGTTGCTCGGAACAGAATCCTCTCAAATGTTGCAGCCTTGACCTTAGGGACAAGCCCTGTAACGAATCCAAGGCGCATCTGCTTGCCAGGTTCTGAGACCATTTCCTGCAAAGTAAACCAGAGTCAAGGATTCTTGCATTCAGAGCTTCTGCAAAATAGAATCGGCTACCTGTGGAAGAGACTGCTCAAGCGAACTCGTGTGACCAGTATCATGTACCACCTGCTCCAATAGCAGTGCAGTGTCAGACGTTATTTCCCGGCCCGAGCTTGCTTCTTCAAACTCCCTTTGGTGGACAGCAGCATCCATCTGCTCCAAACAAGAAGAACGGTTAGCATGACAAGGCTTGACGAACTCAAGGTCAGTGCAAAAAGACATACACCAGCGAGATCAATTCCAGGTGTAGTCGAAACTATTAACCTTTTCTAGGACGAGTTGCAATTCATTCAGCTCATTTCGGCTTCGTAGAAGCTTTTCAGCGTTAGCATTTATCTCCAGTAACTCCGCCTCCAGCTCAGCCAGTTTGACCTGCATAGAAAGTCATCACAAGATATGAAGCTAACAGAGGGAATGGATCGCCAAACCCCGCGATCTTAGCCATTGCCAGTAAAGCGTTGCATCTACGTGTCATGATTGTGCGTCATACACTCATAAGCAGTTGAATTAATTATACCTCCAGGTCGTCTAGGTCAAAATCCTTGTCCAATGGTGCTGGGCTACTTGGTAAAATTCCAGCCTTCACGGACTGATCCTTGAAATAACGAAGCTTTCGTGCCATTTCCCCGCATCGCTTAACCTGTACGCCGTCATTGACACATCAAAATGACCATAAGAGTACTACATGGTTGACCTAGTTCACAACGTGAAGCGTAACCCGCGGTCCAGCAGAGTTTTACAAGAACCATGGCGGGAGCTACTGCAATCGAAAAGCGTTTAAATTACTCTACCTGATTCGCGTAGGTTCGCTGAAAGGGGCTTTTGTCCGGATTTAACTGCATAGTGGCAATTTTGAAGTGGAATAAGATCGAATGTTACTGTCAAATTCCACGAATTTTGGAAAAGGAACCCCATGAATTGAGTAACGGCTTCGACTCAATAATTATGCAGATACCTACATCCTTAAACTGCAGTAGACCGAGCTCCCCAAGATGAGCGACGGTGTTATGTGCAGCTTCGGCAGGAATGATTAGCTGCACTAACTGCATCTCCTCGGACCTGAAAAGGTCCATCGGTGTGTCTGGAAACATGGCTACGCTTAACAAACGCCGGAGCCTACACCACAGTAGCCAAAGCTTCCTTCTGATTTTGAACCTGAATTTCGACACGATGACAAGCTCAAAGCCTCTAGAGGCCTCCACAGATTCCACCAAACGGCATTTCGAGCAAAACTCTTCAAGCGGTTCCTCACGCACCCGCTATTCGTGCTTCAGCAACAACCAGCGAGCAGGTAACTTGGATCAGGATGAAATCTAGGTCAGACCTCCGATGAAACCAGAAAAGAAGGCTTGCTGGTGAGGAGTTGGTTAGCTGCTGCGAAGCTCAGAAATTTTGTAGACAAAACATTCCTCGGTTCTAAGCGGTGGAGGCGAAGCAGAGCCGAGCAAACAACACCACCTCCAAGCCACAGAAAGGTTTCAGGTGAACGAGAGATGGTTTCAGCAAATTGAGCGAAACCGCCACGCCAGCGGGCAGACGCCACAATGTACCGAGAGTTGTGACGCATTGAAACTGTCGCTCGGCCACTTGCGAAGCCAGTCGTGAAAGTGACGTGGGCGGACCAATCGCGAGCCTAATAGTATATCCTACAATGTAACCAAACATAACTGAATATAAACCGCCACTACAACTCAGATCAAAATAAACAAGCATATACCCTCCTACTTTAAAGCATCATGCCATTGCCATATTCTTGGCCTTTTGGCACACTACACAGTGCAATTGCTCGTCACCATCCCCTCGCTCTATCGTCGTTGCCTCTTGTTCAGGCCAGACCTTCGGCTTATCCAACCTTAGATCCAAGATGTCACTCCTATGGCTACTCTTCAGTTCTGCTGCTGAACCTGTATTTGAAGCTCTGGTTCCAGCCTTCTCAGTGCTGTCCACAGGCTTCTCAGTCAGTGGTGCATTATTTCTTTCCATCTTAGCCCCTTCCATTTCACCATCGCTCCCCCTTCCTCCCAGCTTCAATGCCGCCTCCAAACATGGCACATGGTATGCATGTGTGCAGAAAAAACACGCAATCTCTTGCTGGTGCAGATGCAGTGCATCTAGACACAGGCAGCATCGGGGAGGTCCCCCACCAAGCAGCTCCTGTTCTTCATCCTCCCTCCTCTTCCACTTGTGCTTCCCCTGCGTAACCCCTTGCCTTCCCTCCACTCCCCCCACTCCCCCTCTCCTCATGTCACCCTCACTCATACCGTCCTCCCTCCCTCTTGGCAATTCACTTCCTGCCCGCCTCAACCCCTCCTTCCTCTCCACACTCCCTCCTCTCTCTCCCTCAAACACCTCACTCCAGGCCCTAAGCAACCCTCCTCTCCCTCTCTCCCCCATCCCTCCTTGTCCCACGTCAACCTGGTTACCACCTGTTCTGCCACCATCCCTGTAACCCTCACCAGCCTCAACCACAATGGTAGCTATTTTCAGCCCTCCAGATGCAGGGAAGAGTGGGGCAGACGACCACTGCTCACTCCACATAACCTCATCCTCCTCTTCCTCCCCATCACTCTCTCCTTCCTCATCCTCATCCTCTTCCTCGGCTTGAGAAATGGAGGGAAGAAAACAGTCAGAACCGACAGCTCCTTGCATTCCATTCAATCTCACACCTCTCCCATCCAACCCCCCACTCGCATCCATCCCTCCATGATCACCAGCTTCCCCCATCTCCAGCTGTCGAAATGCCAAAGCCACAGCTCTCGCCTCCTCTTTCTCCTTCCTCCTCCTCTCGCTCTCCTCCCTCTCCCCAATCCCCTGCTGCCCCTCCTCCTGCCTCACCCTCCCCACCAAATCACTCCCATCACCTTCGATACCCGTGCCAGAAAACCTTCCCATAAATGCCTTCCTTCGAAACGGCTTGCGGGAGTACAGACTGAGTAGTGACGTCCCAGCAGCTCCACCAGGAAAGAACCCAGAGGTGGACTGAGAAGAAGTATATGCAGACGTGGCTTGAGGGGAAGGGAGCAGTGTGCTGGTTGATGTTGCAGTGGAAGATGGCAGGGGGAGAAGAGGAAAGTGGATCGGTGCAGCGGAGGAGGAGAAGCGGGCGGCGAACTGCGATTGGAGGATGAAGAGGCAGAGGAGGTCGATGCACTCGGACTGCATGAGGGCGATGCAGCCCTGGCGGAGAGACACCTCAGTTGCTGACGCTGCCAGCACTGCCAGCAGATGCTGCCGCAACCTGCAGAGTTCGCATGAGGGAAGGTAAGAGGAGAAGAGGATGAAGATGCAGTGGAGGTTGGCACACAAACGGACTGGAAAGTCGCTCTCACTGAATGCAATCCTGACTGTCGCTCTGTTGGTTCTTAGGGATGCCTCTGTCGCTGAGGCTGTCAGCGCTGCCAGCGATGCCACCTAACCCCCCTGCTCGAAAAGTAAAATGTCAAGCTTACTCTTTTAGGTAAGTGTTTGGTGCGACTCCAGCAAGCAGCTGCTTGGGAGAGAAGATATCTGATGCTTGCTCCATGAGTGCTGCCACCTGGAAGGCGAGAGCAACATGGATTAGAAATTGGATCAAGTGTGCTTGAAGAGGTGACAAGGGTGAATGGTTGGACCGAGGCTGGAATTGGTGGAGTAGAGGGAGGAACTGAGTTGCGCAAGAAAAATGAACAGATGATGGGACCAATGAAGTTGATTGAAAGAGGGGGTTCTGCAAAGTTGGAAAGGTTCTGGGACGTGTAGGCATACCAAGCGAGGGTTTGTGGCAGATCGTTTCAGGAGGAAATTCCACACGTACTGCTCTTTCACCTCCCAGGCCAGTATTATTGCCTGGAGTACGCAAGGTGAGGAGATGATTCAGGAAGAAAGGAAGAAGCTGTGGAAGAGATAGTGCCAGTGGCAACACATTTCACGTAGCTTGAGTCAGCCTAGCAGGAGCGATAGTGCTTCATTACAACAACCCATGCAAGTGTGCAGAGGCAAGTGTGCTGGCGAGGGGAGGGAGGCAAGTGAGGGGAGGTTAGCAAGCGGGCAGGAGGAGAGGCAAGAGATACTCACCCGGTTCACGTCCTTGAGTCGGTCTAACAGGAGAGATAGCGCTTCCTTGTAATCACCCATGCGGGTGAGCAGAAACACCTGCTCCTCCACCAGGCCTCTTTGCACACACAGGTTTAGAGCCTGGAGGAAGGGACAGATACCAGGTGGCTTGGGGTTTGCTGACATGGGAGTATGAGGAAGGAGGAAAACTGGTTCCTCCACAAGGCTCATTCAGGGCCTCGACTGGAAGAGAGTGGCTAGGGGAAAGGTAGCCAAGCAGCCCTAATGTCAGAATGAGGCGAAACACCCGCCGTGCCAAGGATAGTGGTCTGTGCCTCACGTGTCTTGCTGATGAGAGAGTTCTCATGCCTTGTATTGCGCGCATCTTGTGCGAATTACTCACTGAAGCGGATAACATGCAATGCCAGCACTCACGTCTTGCAAGGGGTAGTGGTCAGATGACTGCAGGAAGGGCAGCAGCAGGCGGCGGTCAAAGTCTGCATACAGCTCAACCTGCAAGCAGTTGGAAAGAGAGAGCAACTCAGCAACGGACACAGGTTTTACAAGCGGTGTGATGTGATGATACATGAAAGTACAACAGCTATTTGAAATAGCTGCAGCCAGCCTGCAGCATCCACTCAAACACCCCATGCCTCATGCCGGCAGTCAGTTGCCCCATGACTGACCTGCATGGGATGGAACGCTGATGCCACCTCTGGCATGCGCCCAAACACCTCATGCAGGTAGCTGTAAGTGCAGCGCCATCCGCCTCTCTCTCCCCGTCAGCACCGCTTCACTCCCTTCCCCATCACCAACCCCATTTACTGCTCCATCCACCAGCGTCGCCGAACCATGCGGCGACAGCTGGCGCACAGTGGCAGGCTCAGGCGGCCCAAGAAAGCCCGGCGAATCGACGCCCAGCAGCTGGCGGACGACGATCTCGGGCGGCGCGACGGCGATGTGGTCGGCGAGGAGGGCGGCAGCGCGACGCGGGTGGATGAGGAAGAGGGAGGGCAGGCGGTGGTGGTGGGTGGCGGCGGGAGAGAGGAGGTGGCGCACAAGCCTGTGCTCTCGAATAAACTCAAAAACATCAGGCCCCGGCCATTTCGCACTCGCTAATGACTCGCTAGGGGATGAGACATTGGTGGATTCTTGCGCTGGGTATCGGCGCTGGTCTTCCGAGGATGGACCTGCAGCCCTTCTATTGATGTTTCCTTTGTGAGCTGTCTCCATGCCTGCCGCACCTTTGCCTGCTACCTTGCCATTAACAGGGAGTTTTACGGGTGAATGCAACTGTTCTCCATCCACGTCAGCATGGCTTGTCACACGCCCTTGAAAACCCCCATCCATCTCAGCAGCAGCAGGCGCCCGAGCATGTTCATCCATGCGTTCATGGGAATCCGTTAGCTGAGTAGCATCATTCAAAACAGTGTGGTTCGCCCTGTGCTGTGCCACCAGAATCCGCAAATAGACGTCCAGAGCCTCGATGAAGTCTCTGTTGCGCACGTACAGGCCTGCTAGGAGCTGATGAAGAGGGGGAAGGAGAAGAGGAGAGAGGGCGAGTGGGGATGAGTGGAATGAGGGGGGGGTCAAAGGATGGGGCGGCTGGGTCTGGGCGCAGCGGGCCGGTCGACGTCCAGAGCCTCGATGAAGTCCCTGTTGCGCACATACACGCCCGCTAGGAGCTGATGGGGGGATGGAGGAGGAAGAGTGGGGACAAGTGGAAAGCTAGGAGGGTCAAAGGATGGTGTGAATAGGCGCAGATAGAGCCCTGATGAAGACTCTGTTGCGCACTTAAGAGCTAGGAGCTGATAAAAGAGGGGGGGGGTTTTGGGGAGGAGGACAAGGAAGTAAGTAAGAGCCTGAATGAGTGGAAGGAGAGTGGAAGGAGAGTGGAAGGAGAGGGGCCAAGGAATTCCAGGTTGTGGAGGGAGGCGGCCAGCGAACTATGGTGGGGCCAAATCGGTCATACAGTGAATGCATCCACCCACCCTCCCACCAACCCACCAGCAGCTGCATTGCAGTGCCATGCTGCAGCAGCCGCCCCTCGACAGCAGCAATGACGGCGCCCAGGTTGTAGAGGGCAGGCGGCCAGCGAACTATGCTGGGCCCAAATATAGTATCCAATGGTGATAGCTAGAGTGAGCGCGCCCTCCCACCCTCCCACGCACCTGCAGCTGTATGGCAGTGCCGTGCTGCAGCAGGCGCTCCTCTGCAGCAGCAATGATGGCGCCCAGGTTGTAGAGAGCAGGCGGCCAGCGGGCTAATGTGGGGGGCAGCTGGCGGTGGTAGGAGGAGTGCGGGGAGACGAGTAGCTCCACTAGCACGCCCTGCAAGGAGGAAGGGAGGGAGGGAGAGTGGGGGTGTATTGGTTGGTCCCAAGCTTTTGAGCGAATCAAAAGACACACTGACGCATCAGCAAGGAGTCGAATAAGATAATGTGGTATTGAACCTTACTGTATTGAAATTTTATATTTGGGCATGGCCATGATGCGAGAGCAAATTATTCTGTATGAGAGTGTGTAGCGCAGGGAGAAGAAGTATCTACCTCATAAGTGGCCGGACTGAGCTTCGGGTTGGAAACAGGGACGTAGGGCAGCAGAGTATGCAGCTGCTGCAAGCGAGAGAAGTTGCCAATCCACCTGACGGTATGGAAGGGAGGGAACAAATAATCACAATCACCAGATGAGGGTACGGAAGGACATAAAGCAATTGCCAGCAGCATGCACGAGTACAGTACCACCTACAGTACAGTAATTGGACTAAAAAACCAGAACCAGGCGTATGAAACCGCGATTTCCATTCATAATTTTAACGCTAGCTCGCACTGGTCACTGCCGAGGGACCTCCCAGCATCACCTACCCTGCCGTGTCTCACCATTGCCATGCGGTTTCGGAGTTCCCAAGGGCTGAGGGGCACAGCGCTGCAGCTTCCGCAAAGCGACCATGCATGAGAAGGTGGTCCAGGTGCCGCTCACGTCCCTGCCACGTGGCGGATGATTAGGGATTGGTGTGGAATGAGCAACATCGGAAGGATGGCTGGTGAAAAACGGCATTTCCGATGATGCCTGAACAGGTCGTACGGCATTTGTTGGCTGAAATGTGTAGCTGAAATGCTCAGGTATCTGAGGTCACTGAACCTCGTTCGTGCCACAAAGAGACAACCCCATTGTGGCACAATGGTGTAGCTATGCAATGACGAGGAGTATTTAACTCATGGATGAGAACAGACGGTCGCTGAGCGCTGAAAAATGATAAGGAACAAAAGCATAGCAAGGAACCATTTTTGAATACTATCGTCGCGAAAGGAAAAGGCGTACCAGGAACCTCTGTAGCAACTCCATCGCTCCTGGTGACTTCACCAAAAGCACAGAAATGTTTTCAAGGAGCGGATTGAGACGGCTTGACGCGATCCATGGATCACTGTTGCTGGCTCAGACCCATCTGCAGGGATGCCGACTCTAGCTGCATGTTCCCCTCGCGTCGACAGAAATCACAGCAAACGGACGATCAGAATGGTCGGTGATCATTCTTCGGACGAATTTCTATTACGATGGATACATCAGAGAATAATTAGCAGGCCTGCATGTGGGTGACCTACATGCAGCCGCGTCGCCGCCAGCCTTTATAGCTTTCTGCCGCGTACTAAGTAAGCGGAGTGAAGAATCGAGGGAATTCCACGATAGTGGTCAAGAGACAAGGAGAAATAGTTAGTGTATAGGTGTTCTAGAAACACAATTCTGCTTACAGATTCTTCTATGTTCTAGAAGCATTCCTAGAGATTTTAGATAGTTACAACATCATGCTTCAAGGATCATCACAATGATTTAGTCGATATAATGTTTTATTTTAGAGGTCTCTCAATATAGTCAAGAAAGATTCCTGGAATTCTTGTGTGGTACCGTATTAGGGAATAAAAGGTGACCGAAGACGAGGTTGGATGAAACATGACAGCCAAAGACGGGGCAAACAGGAGACAGTAGCAGATGGAAGATTCAAGAGACAGGACATGAGATACGGGGAGGGGAGGTGAAATACAAGAGAATATAGGATAAGTAGGGGGAGATGCAGATGCATCATTGATTGGTCCGGTCATACATGGTTGATTGGTCATACTGCATAGCACAGCCATGCAAAGTTTGACTTGAGCGTATTCACCAATCTCCAACAATGTGCTTCTGGCAAGCTTCCCTCTCCTATTAGCCTAGGGTTCTCTCAAGACGGGTTCTAGCCAATTTCAGCTGCTCCTCCCTTAGCACCTTGGGTTGTTGTCATGTCCACACCTTGTGGACATGCATGCAAGCAAAAGCTTCTAAATCATGAATGGAGGAAGGCCAACGGTCACTACTAGTTCGAGAGGAAGGTATGGTAATAGGCCAAAAGCTGCTCAAATTCAGATAGGAAATCTCCCAGAGGCCAGCCCAGCATGGCGTCTAGAAGTCGATGCATCTGCCACCCTTCTCCCAGTCCCCGTATCTCGTCGGCTCGGGACCGCTCGGCCCTCCATGTTCCCCCACGGACTCGGGCGGGGGTCGCTGCTTACGCCCGCCATCCACGGCGTTCGAAGCTTCCCCGCCGCCATCTGCGTCTGATCGTATCGGATCGTCGTCGGGCGCGCTCCGCGCCCTGTCCGGCGCGCGATCCGCCTCGCGCCGAGCTAAAATCGGGTCGTCCTCCTCGTCGCCGCCGCTTTCGCACGCCGCCAGCGGAGCGCTGCGCGCGCCGTCCGATCCTTCCGCCGGGGTGGCGCTAGGGGCGTCGGCGGAAAGATGCTGCGGCGGAGCGGAGTCGATGCGCTGACTGGCGGAAGAGAAGGCGGGCGAAGGCGCGTGGATTGCGCAGAGCAGATCCGCGACTGCGAAAGACTCGACGCGGAACCGCGACGCTGCGGGGGTCAAGCCGGAAGGGGGGAGCGCGAGATGGCGGGAAGTGCGTGCGGCGGGGCCGCCGAGAGGCGCCGGCACGCACGGCTGCGACTCAGCCGACGCTCTCTCCGACAAAGATGCGACTGTCGCTAAACATGTAGGCCTGGCTGAAGCTAGATTCGCGGCACGGTGCGGCACGCATCCCGCGTGGGAGGGAGCGGGGAGGAACGATGCAAGGAGGCGCGCGCAACGTCTAGCGGCAGCCATGAGCGCGGCTCTAACGAGGTCGCCAGAGGTATTGCGAGAAGCTCTGAATGGAAGGCTTGTTGGAGAAGCGAGTTTCTGCCGCCCCAGCCCTTTGCACACAAGGAGCAGCAAGGGGGGAATGTCGGCGATGGATCAGAGGCTTCGCGAAATTCTTCGGAAGTTCCACCACCAATCAGATTTCAGCCGAAGACTCGATACAGTTCAGAGCTGTCTTCAAACCGAAATGTTGGCAGTTTCTACAGGTTTCTACACATCAGAATCAGCTATAACAGAAAAATCCAGAGACTTCTCATTCATGCACCTCATGTGGCTCTCAAAGTCACTCAAGGTCCATGCAGCTGAATTGTGCCCAAGTTCCCAAGGAAGTTGCCTTGTCTAGCAGCCTGGTTTGAGCTATCAATCTTCATGTTTGTAATGCATATGGAGTTGTGCTTTAGTGGGCTTGTACAACCTTGATCATAGTGAAGTTTTACCTCATCCAGTCAGTCCAGCAGCCCTGCTAAGACTTTCCAGCCAAGTTTCCAACCTTTCCAGCAGTCACAGCTACTCTGTTTTACAAGTTGGTATCAGAGCTCGTCGTTTCGATCAACCTAGCCCACCACGTTCCTATCCTAGAACTAAACGGACATGGCGGGAGACAATCCTTCTGGACCTGCACTCCAGCCAGCCGGAGGAGCTTCAGAGTCAACATCAGCAGCTACTGGATTAGTGGAAGCAGTTGCACCAGGCAGTTCTTCAACAACATACTCACCACTCACCTCCTTCATGCCTAAGCTTCACCTTCCCAAGTTCAACGGCAAAGATTTTCCAACATGGGCAACTCAGTTTGAGCTCACTGCATCCCTTCTGGATTTGTGGCCTTACTATACTGGAGAAGCAGCCAAACCAGCAGCAGATGCTTCAGAAGCTGAAAAACGTCAATACGAGCGGCGCAACAAGGAAGCCTTCCTCTACCTACTCAATAGCATTCACGAGCAGCAGTTGAAGTCACTCCTACCCTGTTCTACCAAGGCAAACAGTGCGGAGGAAGCATGGAGCCGACTGAAGTCTATGCACCAGTCAAAATCCGAGAGCAGCCAAGCTGAGATGTGGAGCCGCTTCATGAATTTGAAGATGGAAGAAGATGAATCAGCACAAGCATACCTTCAACGAGCTGAAACGATGCTGGAGGAAGCAGCAGCGATCGGCTTGGAGATCCCAGAGTCTCTTTTCAAGACCGTCATCCTCACTGGCCTTACACCGGAGTGGGACACTTTCCGTGCAACACTACAAGCGCTCCCGCAGTCAATGAAGACTCGTGCATTCATCTTCGAAGCCCTTGTCAACGAGCAGCAGAGTCGAGACCTTGCACGGAACAAGCGGAGTGACGAAGGTGCGTGGAGTGCTGCAGCGGCAACACGATATGGCAACCAATTCCAGAGGCAAGGAAACTTCAGCTCAAACCGCCCTCAACCTTACTACGGTACGAAATTTCAGTCACCTTCCAATCCCTACAACCCCTCTCGTATTCCTCAGTCAAGTCATCCCCTTAAGCCAAGTCCTAATCTTCAGCCAAGGTCTTCCATTCCCAATCAATTTCAGTCTAGGAATGTGAGAGCAAATCCTTTAAGAGTCAATAATTTCAGTCAAGGGTCAAATGCTAAAAAGTTTAATTTTGAGTGCTTTTGTTGTCATGAGTGGGGTCATCCGTGGTATGCTTGTCCTAAGAAGCCTCCTAATTGGGTCCCTCCACCTCAGCTACTTTCTGAAAAGGGTAAAGCAGTCATAGCAAATATAGCAAGCCATGCTACGAGTCAAAATGAGTCCAAAGATTCTGACGGTCCTGTCCTTTTCAACGCTGCTACTTGCATGCATGTTTTTTCTACTAGTAGTGAGGAGTTTATTCTTGATAGTGGCTGTTCTGAGACCATGACTCCCTATCATTCCATTCTCAAGGATTTTCAGCCCTCATATGACTCAAAAGCGGTGACTCTTGCCGATCTTGGCAAAGTCCCTATCAAAGGAGTCGGCAAGCTTGAGTTTGAGAAAGATGGTAAGTCATTTTGTGTCAATAAAGCTTTGTTTGTCCCTGATTTGGGAGCAAACTTGCTCTCAGCTGGACAACTTGAAGAGAAAGGTGCCTCTGTTCTTTTGCAAGGGGGGAAAGCCAAAGTGTGGGATAGTGCAGGAAATTTGGTGGCTGAAGGCGAGCGTACCGGGCGTCTCTACAAGATGAAGTTGGAGATCAAACGCGGTTCTAGCAACACGAAGAACGACGTTGTCTCGCTTCCCGCTGTTTCAACCGATCAAGTCAACAACAAAGGGAGTATCTCCCAAGCCGAGGTATGGCATGCACGCTTGGGGCACTTGGGGATGCAAGCATTCAAAGAGTTAGTAAGTCACAAGAGCGTGGAAGGACTTACTTTGAGTGAAAGTGCAGTCAAGTCTCTTTCTACCGTCCCATGCCCATCTTGTGTTGAAGGTAAGCTAGCTAGAAAGCCATTTTTCCCTTCTAAGTCTCAGTCAAGGGACCTCCTAGAGTTGGTCCACACTGATGTGTTCGGCCCCATGCGAGACCCTACTCGAAACGGTAAGAGATATTTGGTGTCTTTCATTGATGACAAGAGTCGTTTCTCATGGTCCTTTTTCATCAACACCAAGGATGAAGTTCATAAGTGCTTCAAGCAATGGCTAGCACTTGTTGAGAGAGAGTCAGGGAAGAAGTTACTCACCTTGAGGTCGGACCGAGGAGGTGAGTACATGGGAAAAGCGTTCCAGGGGGAGTTGTTGTCATTGGGCATCAAGCAACAATTCACTTGTCCCTATAGTCCTCAGCAAAACGGAGTGGCAGAGAGGTTTCATCGCACTATTCAAGCTATAGCTACCACTTTTCTTCAGTTTAAGGGCCTTGACAAGCTCTGGTGGGGTGAGGCAATCACTATGGCAATCTATGTTCGCAACAGAAGGCCAACAAGGCCTCTACCGGATGGTGTAACGCCATATGAGGCTTGGTTTGGAGTTAAACCAGATCTGTCTATGCTCCGTGTTTTTGGTTCCATGGCCCAATACCGTGTCCCAGATGCAAAACGACTCAAGCTGGACAGCAAAGCTCATTGGGGCCTCTTCATCGGCATGAGCAATGAGAGCAAGGGATGGGTCCTTTGGGATCCCGTCACCAAGCGAGAAGTGGTTTCAAGGGATGTTGTCTTCTATGAAGACATGTCCCTTGCAGATTGGCACAAGTATTCCTCTTCCTCCTCTCTACCACCCTCTATCCAACAGGAACCAGCAAGAGCACCTGAGGAAACAACACAAGAGGAGGAAGATGACAACGTTTCTGACCATAGCGGACCGATCATCGATCTCCCTCAAGCCGTCGGCAACGAGACCAGCCGTGCCACACCAGCGCCACCAGCAGCTACACAACCAAGTGGAGATGAAGTTCAGCTATCAAATGAAGACCATCCACCTCAGGAAGTCACCGTTCCATCACCGCCAAAGGAGCAGCAGCCAACATTCACAAACCAGCCAGCTACTTCAACACCAACCTCACAAGTTCAACGCCAACCGGATCAGCCCACCACTACGCCACCAAACCCATCATCAGCCGTCACTCCAGAGGCAATTACAGAAGCTCATCGTCATCCCATGCAGCAGCAACCAACAGCTACAAGTTCCCAAGTACCTACATCAACACCATCTACGACCCTTCCTAGCAACAAGTCAACCGTCACCGCAACACCTCGTTCTCATACCACACGTTCATCACTTCAACTTCCAACGTCAAGCCAGCTCATAGCACGAGGATCACTTCAGCGAGTCTCCACCAACACCAGCTCCAACAGCCCACTTCTTCACCCAAGACCTTTCTCAACTTCACCCCCACGTCCCGGATTTGGTCGTCATCAGTTACCGCCATCTTCAACACCGAGCAACAACACCAACCAGCCCCAACCATCACCATCTCTCGACAACGCAGCGTCATCATCAATTCCCAAGCTTCTAGTCTCACGATCCCCACCACGAGCATCTTCACAACCAACTATGCCGACGAACGTTTCAGCTTCACCGCCACGAGCCACCACTCCTATTCCTCAAGTCAACACCGATCATCGAGAGAGTTCCAAGCCGGGAGAAGATCATGCAGCCGTGCCGCCGTCGCAGCCGATGTCGAAGCCGTTGTCTCAGCCGCAAATGACAGTGTCAATGCATCCAAACACTGTGAGACCGAACCCTACCACTGATGTGTCTCAGCCAAGTGAGGAGTTGGGTAAAGGTAAACGAGTCCGCAAGGTGAAAAAGCCCTTCACATTCATGGTTGACATGTCATCAAGGTGCACATGTGAGGAGAGCGAGAATTGCATTCACAAGAAGGTAGAGGCAATATGCATGGCAGCATCACACCTTCCACGAGAGCCCTTGAGTCGTCGTGAGGCAATGGCAAGTCCTGAGAGAGAGCATTGGTTGAAAGCCGAGGAAGAAGAGATTGAGAGTCTCATGAAGCGAGGTACATGGCGTCTTGTTGAGCCACCTCCAGGGAAGAAGGTAATTGGTGTCAAATGGGTGTACAAGATCAAGGTAAACGGTGATGGTAGCCTCGATAGGTACAAGGCAAGGTTAGTGGCAAAAGGTTATTCCCAAATCCCAGGTCTTGACTTCACCGAAACCTTTACCGCGGTAGCGAAGTACACCACGGTACGAGTCCTCCTCGCCATAGCCGCATACCTTGGTCTTCATATCCACCAAATGGATGTCAAGAACGCGTTTCTCTATGGTGTCTTGGAAGAAGAGGTATACATGGCACAACCCGAAGGTTATGATGATGGTACGGGTCGAGTTTGTCGCTTGGTAAAGTCCCTTTATGGTCTCAAACAGTCCCCACGGGTATGGTATCATGCTCTTGAGAAGGTACTCTTCAAGCACGGTTTCACAAGGTCCATGAGAGACAACGCTTTGTACTTCATGCACACGAGTGAGGGGGAGTACATTTGGCTCTTGGTATATGTCGATGACCTCCTCCT